AAATAATATCCGACAGCTGGTGGCACGATAGAACAATTCGTAGTGTAATGTTTGCCACTTCACTTTATTGCCTCTATGAGTCGCCAACGGATAAAAAAATCAAGGCAAATGCACGTACGCCAGACATGAAGTTTACATGGAGGAACGCACATTCTTGTGTTAATTTCACTGTTAAACATCTGGCCGTGAACGGGAAAACTGGCGTATGCCGTGTTTTTGCACGTACGCAGTGATGTTTTGTATGCAGGGGACAGAAATATTTCATTTTTGGCAGTTTTTTGACAGAAAAATACTTTAAATTATTTACACTAAACCAGACGGCAAGAGGGACGACAGACAATATAAAAAAAGACGATGTAGATAACAGGGCTAGTATTAAAATTTTGTCTTCATTATTGTTGATGAAACGTACAGTATAACACGGATGAACAACATCAAAGAAAAAAAAAATAGTCACACTGATTTTTAAACTATTTCAATAACGCTATCTTTTAACACTTTCGTTTTAATTAAAATATCATAAAAAACACCTCCTATGTAAATAAACAACAAGGGTGAGGGTGGAAAAAAAGATTCACTTCCATTAAATGTTGAGTTAGTCTGTTGTATTTTCCTTTGAGGACTGATGATGAATTTTTCACCCAGTCACTTTTAAAGGAGATATGATCTCCCAAGACACCTCATGAGATACCATCTGCCAAGTTAGAAAGACGCCCTGCAGACACCTCCTGTTTTTCAACGCAGTAAACGATCATGTGGACGCCAAAATTTGACAATAAGCACACAGTCTGGTCCACACTGGAGCACATTTTGGCTAAGAAGCATCTTTGTGTGGTATACTAAAATACCATATAAAATCCAATGACCTACTACTGCTAAATGCCTCGAAAAGTGCAATATGTTTTAGATGGCCCGTGGACAGGAGTCACAAATTGTGATGCATCAAGTCCAGATGATGGATGTAGACTAAAGGATCCCAAACCACAAAACAAAACCATTCCTTCAGGGCAACTGATGTAGCAAGAGATGGATCTGAACAGAAAATGGGCCTTTTGGCTTCATTGTGGGCTTTCCATTGACCATCTTGCGAGTCTCTTATAATTCATCATGGTGACTAATGCTCTGAACTGAGATAAATAGCAGCTTCAAGGTCCTTGTTTCAACCTCAAACAATAGAAAGCTTTCTCCCCTGTCTTCGCCACAGATTTGAACAGATGGCGGCATTCACTCATTCTTGAACGTGTATAAATCTGATGCAGACGTCCAGCATACAATTTGCCAGAATATCGTAATGCCATACAGAGATTCCTAGGAGAGCAAATATGAGTTAAGCAATGTTTGGTAATAGTGTGCAATTTAAAATACAAAATGAATGCGCATCAGCAAATCCTGACATAAAAGGTCGTCTTATCGCACGTCCTACATTGCAAGGCAAACGCCCTGTAATCCTATTGCGACAAGTTTTAGGCAAAGTTTTTAGATTGTGTTTATTCAACATTCAATAAATCCGACACGATATTACGCTTATCTTAATCCACGAGCAGACGTTTTCTAATGTCGAGGGATTACGCAAACTGCTGACTAGGTTGTCCTCAACGCGCTGGAGTGGAAAAAGAAAAACCCCTCTAACTTAAGCAGTTCAGCATGTTGAGGCCTTTAGCAAAGCTCAAGTATTGACTTGATTCACAGAAGCAAGTGCTTTAGATGAGGTAACCTAAAGTCATTTATCACTGACAGATGGGAAGGTAGACAAACATATGCGGACATCAAAATCACCACACCAGAAGACAAGCTTCACATGCCACAGATTATTTGCTGATCCAAAGTGACGAGAGCCATGAGAGATATTTATCATCTACAATATTGACAATATTGAATTGAGGAAAAATAATGAGCAAGTAGCAGCTTAAGAAGTAGTACTTTGTCAAAATGTAGCCGTGCTAGCTAAATGATAGCTGGTTACATGCAAAACGTTGAGACAACAACAACAAAAACATGAGCATCTAATTCAAGAGCTTAAGATGATATTTTAAAGTCTTTTAGAAATTTAAAATGACATAAAAAACAACTGAATTAAAGATACAGTATTCAGTAAGCTAAACGCTAACAGAAGCTAAATGCTAGCAGTCACAGTGGTTGCCTGCAGCTTTTATGCATGTTTCATCACTTTGTCGTCCGAACTGTGGAGAATGTAGGAAATAATGAGCTGAAACAAGCAAATAGCTAGTAAAAGAGGAGTACTTTACATTAGAATGTAAAGTACAATAGCTAGCTAGTAAAAGAGGAGTACTTTACATTCATCTTTTTGGCTAAATGGTAGCTTTAGCCTAGAACAAAAGTTGGACAGAACAACAAAAACAAAATGTCTAATTCAAGATCCAAATTCATATTTTAGAGCCTCAGGATGTTGACTTTTACTTTAAAATCACTGAAGAACTTGAACTTGAAGAACAGAGAAGCTAAATGCTAAAAGGAGCTAAATGCTAGTACACAATATATGCCTGAAGCTTTCACATTGTTGTCTGAATCGTGGAGAATGTGGGAAATGATGAGCTGAAACTAGCAAGTAACAGCTTTCATTCAGCTAAACTTTAACTTAGCCTGGCTGACTAAATGGTAGCTGCTTATACAAGATGTGGACACAATAACAAAAACAAGCGTCTAGTTAAAAAGGTTAAGTTCATGTTTCATATCCTCAAGATGTTGCCTTAAATTTAAAAACCACTTAACGAACATTTTCCATGCACCAAAGATACAATGTTGTACAAAAATATATTAATTTAAATTTCCTAATGCACAGATCCCACTTGTTTTACATGCTAATCTGTAATTTCGAACAATTTGAAACTCAAATGAAACGCCTCAAAACAGCTAAGAACCATTCGGTATTTATAGCAAGATGCAAAAATACTTGGAAAACTACATCCTGTATGGATTTAATTAGCAATTGTATTTTAATATGGAATGATTTCTCTATATACGTGAAGGTCGGCAAGTTAATGTGTCTAACCAACGCATTCTCATCTTAGAGCGTCATATAGGTGACGCTTTTGAATCCGACGCACATGGTACCCTTTAGCGTCAATATAACACGCTTCGTTTATGGGTGGGTTTAGGTCTGAGGTAGTGTTAGGGTTAGACCACTAGGAGGCGCCTCCTGGGCCATATATATCTGCGTCTCATATTGACGCTAAAGGGTGCCATGTGCGTCGGATGTAGACGCAATGTCAAAAGTGTCACCTATATGACGTCTTGGGGCTGGTCTAACTCATGGACACAATCCTGAAAGGTCACGTACAGTATTTCCCCTTGTAAAGTTCTTCAAACCCACCTTGGTTCAGTGTCCAATCTTCCAACCACTACACCACTTCAACTGGACCTATCCTACTCACCATCTCCTAAACATAGCACACCTCAACACAGACTCAATTTCACACTACAAGATTTTACAAGAAGGGCTCGCCAGATGGCATCCGGGAACCCAGTCAAAGGGCCAGTGGTGGACAAGAATGAAAAAGAGATTTGGAGACGCTGCAATGCCCGAACGGCATATTGAGGACCATCAAACTGGAAAGAGATTAGAGCTGCGGTGTGACGCTGAGAAAGTCTGCCAGCTCAGTCTCGGGGAATGAGATCTGCTGCTGGAATGCTGTGATGAGAATGCCTCATGATGACAACAGTTTCTTTTAAAAGATAATGCTTCTGCATGCTAAGACACTGCGGTGGGAATAGAAGAATAGTGTAGTGCTTGGTGCATTTTGAGCAATATGCGTAATGATGAATAGTTCAAACAGAATATAGTTGGCACATGGCCGGACCATGCTTTATGTTTAATTCAGCAGGTGCAGCCCAGTTATCATAATGGATACAAATTTCTCCTTGTTGTCTATAATACTTTGCATTGTGGGATACAATATCCAGTGAAATGCTCTGTTGTATAATTCACATTACTTACTTTTTTGTAATTACTTGTATGACTATAATGTGGCTGTCGATAGATCTTTTAAAAATACAGTCATTAATGGTGGGGGATGGGTCCTAATTACCTATGTTTATTAAATAAATTGCATTAATTGCATTTGAATCACAAATGATGACATTTGTGAATGATGGCAATTTCAGCAAATATTTGTTTATAATTAATCCAATATGTATTTATTAAACTATTTATTCGTATTTATTACTATTATTAATAATGAAAATCATTTAAGAAAATATTCTTAATTCAATATCTATTTAATTAATCATTATATTTTTATTATAATACAATACTACTACCAATAATAAAATATTGTTATTTATAAGTATACTAAAATAGACATTAAATCGAAAGCAGTCCGTTTTAACTGTCAATTTAAGGAAATTTTGGTTTATTATTAATAAAAAGTATTCAATCCAATATGTATTTATTAAAATATAATCGATTCATATTTATTACTATCATTAATAATGAACATAATTTAAGAACATATTAATGTCTAAACAATTCTTCAATTTCTATTTAACCATTATATATGTATATTTTATTTTAACATATTTAATAAATAATTATTAGTTTTTTATTGCAACTAAGCACATATAGATCAAATGTTTCTGCGATCAGTCTTCTTCAGTGAATCATCTACTAATACTACTAAAAAAATAAGAATAATTTTGATATAATTAAGTATACTAAAATACAAATAAAATCGACAGCTGTAATGCACACTATATTCCATGAATGAGGGCTGTAAATTTAAGGAAATATTTATTCATATTCATAATTGTATTCAATTAAATATCTATCTTATTTATTTTTATGTAATTATTCAAGCATTTTTTATTCTCATTAAATGTTATTATTAATAATCATCACTTATTAATTATTATTATTAATCAGGTATTCCATGCATACAGAAACTCTGCTAACTCTCGAAATATGGTAGAGTATGGTAGAACGCAATTTCGATCACAGCCATTGAGTTCAGTCGTATGTATTGGCGCGATCAGCAGACTCTCACCTTTAGCCTGCTCTTCATCCTCCCTCTCTTCTTCTTCCTCCTCCTCCTGCTCCTCCTCTTGCACTAGGCTGGGGGGTCTGTAGGGCGGGGGGAGGCGCATGGGCGGAGGGACGGCGCTCTGTCCTGCTTTCTGCTTGAAGAGAAAACCAAAGAGACTGGATGAGAGAGAGTAATGCAACAGACTGTGGAAAGACACTACAAAGGACACAGGCTAACAAATAAACAGTGCAACGCATTCTCATCCCAAGCCGCCATATACTGACGCTTTTGCCAATACGTAGACATCCAACGCACATGACACCCTTTAGCGTCAATAGAACACTCTTCGTTTATGGGTAGGTTTAGGTCTTGGGTAGGGTTAGGGTTAGACCACTAGGAGGCGCCTTCTGACCCATATATCTGCGTCTCATATTGACGCTAAAGGGTGCCATGTGTGTTGGGTGTCTACGCATTGGTAAAAGCGTCAGTAAATGACGCCTTGGGATGAGAACGAGCTGGCTATTGTCAGAGAATGGGAATTGAACACGGGAATAATATGTGGAAATTTCAACATTCAACAAAGAGACATTTCAACTAACACTGTTCAATAGATTTCAACAAACTATTTACTGATTGTGATTTTAATGGACCACCAAGTTTATTGGTCATGCGATACATTGATATAGTTGCTAAGGTGTTTTTGAAGGGTTTTGTTATTGCTAAAGTAGTCACTATGGGATTTGTAGGGTGTTCAGAGAGATCTTTAGCATGTCTCGATGCAATTTCAAGAACGTTCTGAGTGGTTTTTAACATTTCTCTATGAGATTTATAGGATGTTCTGAGTCATTTTTAGCATATCTTTATGCGGTTTCTATTATCTTCTGAGTGTTTTTTAGCACAACACCAATTTCTATGGTGTTTTTAGCATGTTGCTATATGATTTCTAGGATGTTCGGAGTGATTTTTAGCACTCTCTATTAGGGATATCAATTAACATCAACTCCCATAATCGATTGTTGTTTATCAATTATTCGTTAACCTCTTAAATACAAAGTAGGGGGCGCTCATGTTCCTTAACCACTTGATTAACCAACGCAAAAAACTTGGTCTACTCAAGGCATCTATGGAGCTATAGCAGCTCACATAAGCCGCCTCTAACAGATCTATTAGCATTAATCAGCTATTAGCGGCGCTTGCAGAAGGATGCCATAATGTTTCACTGCTCCTGAGAGCCACGCTTACTGCTGATTAATAGCTAATGAATGATGGAAGAATGATATCGAGGGAGAAAGACTGCTAATGTGTGCAAGAGATGCGAATACGGGTTAGCAACCAACGCTAATTTTGCTACAGTATGTTGGCAAAAAACTATTTTGCGCACAATATATGGGAAAATCTTTGTTTATAACATACTATTAAAGGTAATTCTTCTATTTTTTTTCAAATCTAAATGTACATTTCCTTATGGAAAATAGCATCAGAAATAGAAAGCAGTGAGAGTTTTCCTTCAGATATGAGCTGAAAGTTAATTAAATTTGCAGGGTGTAATTAGAGGGCCCCATATTCTGATTGTGGTGAATAATCATGTAGCCTCGGGAGCCGAATACAACTAATGGATGAAGGAGCAATTAGGCAAATTACTGTTATTTCAAATTAATTGCTAGAAAAAAAAATGTTTTAATCAAAACATGGCGACTCCAGAGGTATCTAGAAGATTTCAAATTGGGATTCTTCTGCAGGTCTCCCGAGAAGAGACACTATTTCTCAGAAACATGGTCTTGCATGTGCATATTTGTACTGTTTTCTTTCATTATTTCACTTGATTCTGGAATGTGGCGAAGGTTATAATAGATTGTGATGGTTGCTTTGATGTGAGTGGAAACCAGCCTTAGACATTTACATTAGTGGACACAAAGACATCTTGAAACAGACACATAATAAACACAGCATTCAGCTTCTTTGCACAGAGACTCAGAGTGTGATCATTACAGGCAGCTGGGACGTAATTACTGATCATTACGGACAATGCGGTTCCAGTGAGAATCATATTGCAGTGTATGCTGCTGATTTGAGCTCCAGCATAGACTGCTAATATTATGTTCAGATATAAAATCTGAAGAGATGTTGGCCCATATTGATAGGATAGCATCTTGCAGTTGATGGAGATTTGTGGGATGCACATCCAGGGCACGAAGCTCCCGTTCCACCACATCCCAAAGATGCTCTATTGGGTTGAGATCTGGTGACTGTGGGGGCCATTTTAGTACAGTGAACTCATTGTCATGTTCAAGAAACCAATTTGAAATGATTCGAGCTTTGTGACATGGTGTATTATCCTGCTGGAAGTAGCCATCAGAGGATGGGGACATGGTGGCCATAAAGGGATGGACATGGTCAGAAACAATGCTCAGGTAGGCTGTGGCATTTAAATGATGCCCAGTTGGCACTAAGCGGCCTAAAGTGTGCCAAGAAAACACCATTATACCACCACCACCAGCCTGCACAGTGGTAACAAAGCATGATGGATCCATGTTCTCATTCTGTTTAGCAGTCATAGCCGTGTTTTATCATTAATAAAGCACAGCTATTAACCGATCTGAACCAAGGACTGGAACTAACTGTTTTATTAATATATATATATATATATATATATATATATATATATAAAAACAATTGCCAATGACCCCCTATTAACTCCAAAGTTATTTGTAATGGAGTGCAATCTGTATTCATGTATTTAATGTTTCGCCTTAAGTTTTATTAGACAGCTGACCATAGTCAGGATAATGCAGTGTAATGGATATATTTTTTTGTGCTGTACGGTAGTAGATATTTCATTTCAATAGGTTAAGTGACTATAACATTTCTGAATTTGCATCCTGCTTCAGCATTACCTGTCCAGTCAAGGATATTTTGTCTTTGTATGCATTTGTCCCTCACTGTTCTGTTGTGTTGTTCATAGGTTCTAGTATTTTGTATTGTCTATTTTTATTATTTTATTATAATCATCTTTCTTTTTCATCGTCGTTATCATTGTTCTGTTATGCTAAAATAAATGTATTAAAAAAATAATAGGACTAACAAGATTATTTGCATTAACTTTTATCTCGTCATCTCATCATTTTTTAATAATCACATGCACAAAACGTACAGTGCTATTTGCAATTCCTGTCAGCATATGTATATTGGTCCAGGATTTGTTGAGGTGAAAGGTGAAAGAGCCATAACTCAGAGCAGAGCAGAGGTGCAGGTTTGTACTCACCTGGGCGGCTTTCCTCTTTGCCTTATGCTGTCTAATGCTGGGGGCCGTCACTGAAGCAGGCTGCGAACACACACACACACACAAAGAAAGTCAACCTCACGGATAACGAACACGGACACATCAGCTCAAGAGATTTGTGTGTTACCAGTTTGGGGCTGAGAGAGAACAAAATCAATTATCTCAGACAAAGAAAGACATCATTCACTGACATCATTCACATTAGTGTCGCTATTACTGTTGAAATCCTCCAATCAGGGGGGATTAGCACATGGGATTGGAACAGCACCACAAGATCCTGTGCTTGTATGGTTGCTAAGGCTGAAGTACCCAACCTGCAGGCCATTCCAACTAGGGTCATAAAAATCATTAAGTTGTACTGTATGAAACAACAGCTCTGCTCGACTGTGCAGCCTCAGGTTCAACACACACACAGGTTCAGGAAGTGCTTTTTCCCTTAAATCACACAGATCCTCAATAAGCATTCTGCTAGAGGCCCATACGCTGCTCTCTGACCACAATACTGTGATACAAAAAAAAAAAAAAAAAAAAAATCACCCAGAATGTCTTTAGTAATACACATGTTCCCCCTCACGTTTCAACCGCACTTCCTATTATATTACTTATGATTATTTAAATATTATTTAGAACTGTTAACAGATAAACATATTGGCCAGGCCGGGTAATTGGCAGCTAAATAGGCCTATGACTTTACAAATTAATAATAAACTATTTAATTAAGTTATTAAGTAGTAAACAATTTAATGAAGTAATTTCTTGAGTAAATATTATGTAAAAAATAACAATATATATCAAAAAATAAATGACATAATGTCTCAATTGTTCTCAATTGCATATGCCTTTTATATATTTATTTTAAATAAATATTTATATATTTATAATAATTACTAGAAATAACTACATTTTTAATATAATTATTACATGTATTATTTATAACATTTTTTACAATAGTCAAATATTGTTAATTAGAGAAAACTATTTAGAAAGGTTTAAAATTATGAAGGACTTTGTCAATGGATAATAAATAGTTTGTCTTAAGCAATATTTTGTGAATTTTCAGTAATTTGAGAAAGAATAAGATTCTCTGTGTGTGTGTGTGTGTGTGTGTGTGTGTGTGTGTTAATAGCAATTCCTATTACTATTCATTACTATACTATTCAAATGCATACCTATTTATTATAATTATTACAATCTCTAAATGTTACAATTATATTAATTATAACGTCAGATATATACACAATTAAATATATAAATAATGCATGTAGTAATTATATTCTATTATATACATTTTATATTATTTACATTATAAATATTACATATTTATATCAAATTTTATTACAATATCTACATATTACCATTTTAATATCTAGAACTCGATTTATACTATTTAGAAAAGTTTAGTTTCAGTAATTTGAGTACTTATTAATAAATACATAAAAGTATATGATTATTTATTAAAATTATTACATGCATTATTTATAAATAATATATATAAATATAAATAAATTAAATAAAAATAATTGTATAATTTTGTAATATCTAAATATAACTGTACTATCTAAAAGTTATAAATTATTATAATATAACCTATAATATCATTAAATGTATGCATATTAAAATGTAATACCATTAAAATGTATTTACTTCTATTATAATTATTTTGGGGCAGCTTTTTCAAGCAAAGTTGTCTTTTTTTTAACAAATGAAAGAGCAGAGATAACGGGAAATAATGCACATTCGCATGAGGAAACAATAGTGATGAGCAGTAATATGTGTGTGTGGCCACAACTACAGTATTTATTAGTGTTTTCATTGTGCTTATTTCCCCTTATGCAAAGTAACATAGGGCACATATGTCACAAAGCTTGGATGACACAGTTAAAGGATGCAAGAACAATGTTTACCTCAAAATAGAGGCACATTATGGAAAAATACAGTGGCCTAAAGCAATCGAAAGACCTTTAACAGTAGAGCTGCGGCAGGAAGTGGCCCAAGAGTGCGGCGTCATTTACCAGTGCCTTCAGTAGCGACTGAGTGGAATTATTATTGTTGAACTAGAAATGAATTTTCAAAAATGAGGAGCACTCAGGCATGAACAGGAGAGGTCATATCTGAGGTGCACAGTGGCAGCAGAAGATGATGGCATTTTAAATGAAATGGCAGGTTTACCCGTGGAGTGGAGCACAGGCTCTGCACGACGAAGACTACGGGAGTGGACGCCGCTTTGATAGCCTGTACTGCCTCCTCATGGCTGGCGTTCTGCAAATCCACTCCAGAAACCTATTTATCACACAGGATGACGGAAGGACAAAGGACAGAGGGAGAGAGTTGAGAGAGGATTTAAAGGGGACATGCATTTGAAAACAGGATTATTTAGCCAAGCTAAAAAACGGTTACGATGTCAGAACCATGTGCACATTAACATAAGCCCGCCCATATTAACATCTCAACATGTGTTCATCTTGGAGTGTCAAGTTGCTGAAAACTGAATGACAGCGACTTAAGCCAGTCGTTTTGATATGACAAGCCGTTAGCCAATAATAAAAGAGGTCATATACATATTGTCTTAAAGGTACAGTAGCAAAAACAGTAAAGAGAAACTCAAACGCAGGAAATCTTTAAAAGGGGTCATAAATATTCATTCAGGGATAAATAAATTGCTACAAAACAAAGAATATGGCCCCTTTAAAATGGTTAGGAAGCAGAAAAGAGCAGAATATTAATGGGCGTAGTTGTGTACTAAGAACATGTATGTGTGTGTCTCTCAGACCTGTAAGATCTTGTCTCCTGTTTTAAGGGCACCCGTGCGTCCAGCTGGGCTTTCTGGCAGCACCTGTTTGATGAAAATGCCCTTCAGCTCCTCTCCGTTCTTCAGCCTCTTTATAACGGTGCGTCCGCCCACTATGCTGATACCCAGAGACTCCTGCGTCTCCAGCCACACCTCCACTCTGAAACCCCCCCCCAAAAAAACAACAGTTTTTGAAAGAAGTCTCTTTGGCTCACCAAGGCTGCATTTATATGATCCAAAATTCAGTAATGACAGTAATAATGTGAAATATTATTACAATTTAAAAGAACTGTTATCAATTTGAATGTATTTTAAATTGTAATTTATTCCTGTGATGCAAAGCTGAATTTTCAGCGTCATTACTTCAGTGATCCTTCTAATATCTGGATTTAATGCTCAAGAAACATTTCTAATTATTATCAATGTTGTAAACAGCTTTGCTGTGGAACCATTTTTTCAGGATCCTTTGACGAATAAAACGTTTTATTCATCAAAGATGAATCACTTCGAATATAAATTGTTTGTAAAATTATAAATGTGATTGGTAGTGAATACATTTAATGATACACTATAGTATACAATAAAAATTATGTATTATACTTCTTAATGAGGCTTATTATTAGATTTTTTTTAATCTCTGATACGAACACATTAAATCATCACGTTCTGTCTCTGTCAAAAACAACAAAATGAATAATAATAATAATAATTTCGTATCTCTCTCTATATGTGTACATATAATAGAAGAAACAATAAAATAATGTTTGTTACTTTGCTCTATATGTATGTCATATATCAAATAATACATTTTATATAGTATTAAAATATTTATAATTTTTAATCATTACCTTTAAATGTATTATAAACATGCAAATTCGTTTTATTTTAGGAAGATGTCAATTAAGTCAATACTTTTTCATAGACAAATTTTTGTTACTTCCACTTTCTATTAGAATATCTTGAACCACACACAACTTTTAAGTGTGTTTTACCTGCGTGGGGGACCCCAGTGACTGAACGCAGGCGTCTCCTCACCTTCTCCCTCCTCTCTTTCTGGCAAATCACTGCGGACAATACATATAATGTACAGTTATAATAACAACAAACCATCAAATTCTCAATTAATGATCAGGAATGCAGTAAAGTTAACTGCTACCTGTGGCCTCCTCTGTTTGGACCGGCAGCGCCCTGGTTTCTTCTCTTCCTGCTGCGAGAGGAAGTCAGCTGCGCAGATCTGCCGAGCACGAAAGTTATAGATGCATAACAGTCACAGAGTCATAATAGACTGAATCAAACTCATCAGGTTCACGTAACATTTATGTAAGATTCCGACTTTACTCATCTCAGATCTGTCTTGACGGTTCACAAAAAGGATGTAATATTTCAAAAGCAAGAAAATAAAATAAAATCATATTTTTGAAATATTTAATCTGATCAAACAGCATGAATTCAACAAATAAATGTCAGTGTAATAGCAGAAAAACAAAGTATCATTTGAATTGGATTAATAACAAAAATAATTCAGTTTGACTAAAAATCTCTGATACAAAAAAAAAAAAAAATGTCTCTATTAAGGTCAACTGTGCTACATACTGTAAACAAAGCTAGAATGTGCAATAATGAAAACTCAAATTATTATTTATTAAATAAATAAGATAAGATAGTAATGTGATTTACAAACACAAAAATTGATAGTATAAAATTATTTTTTTTTTAGCTATAATTAATGATGTTCTGACATTTGATATTTTTATCTTTTAAATTTATTTATTTTTTTACAGTCTAAACATCAATACTGTGTGCATAGTAAATACAACAATTAATTGGCTATTCATTTTCCAAAAACATGTTGTATGTGTACAAACCAAAAGGACATACTCTCGCTCTCTCTCTCTCTCTCTCACACACACACACACACACACACACACACACACCATTAACAGCTGGCCAAGTCTCAGCTGCATTTCACACCAATTTGACACCATTCATTGTTCAGCTCCAAAATGGCATTTTACATCCGTTTTTCACTTTTCTTTCTTATAGCGCAGTGGTAGCTCAATTATAAAAATTCATTGTGATAATTTAAGATAAACATGATCATTTTCTAATTCTTCTAAAATTAGATTATCTTGTTTTTACATCTATAAAAATGTAGTTTTACAACTGTCCTATGAATTTAAGCAGTACATTTGTCCAGCAGGTGGCGTTATGGATCTATTAGGAAACATGGTAATTACAATTCCTCACAAGGCATCAATCTTTATGAACACAAGTACAATAAAAAATGAGTGTATTGTGTGTATTAGTGTATTTGCCAGTAGAGACAGTTTATAACATTATTACCTACTATCTGCATCTGTACTCTCAAAAATAAACCGATGACAACATGGTCATTTTTTGTTCTGTTAGTGATGGATATAGTTGGGTGTGTATTTATTACAGCTGGAGACTCACTCAGTGTCAGTGTCGGTCAAGGTAAGTTCTGAGCCTTCGTTTCTGGAGTCAGAGTCTGCCTCGCTGTCCGCTGCCTCCAACCATGATGCAGGCTGGCCTGAGAACAGACGTATAAATATCAAACTGTACTGAACTGAACTGAATTTGTTAAAATAAACCTTATTTTAAAGACAAACACTCACTGAGGGGAATTTGTGAGAGCTGAATCTTCTCAAAGCTTTTGCAAAGATCATCGTTCACCTCAGGGAACTGCGGCAGCAACAACACAAGAGTTTTTAATCATGGATTCTTGCAGGATATGATCTTACATAAAAATAAAAGAACTTGATGACAGCTGTGGATGAATCTAGAAGTAGTCCAGGTCATTTCAGTTCAGGCCCCACAGTTACAGTTAAGAAAAAGCCTAAAGGTATTTGGACACTTTGTATGACTTTAAAACCTATAAACTCATCTTTGGTGTCAGAGTATCATTATGCATCACCTGTTCTTGAGAATCAGCTTGAGCATTGAACTGGTAGATGCTGGATGTCGCTGGTTTTTCCCAGGAACGAGTCTTCTCGCTGAGGTATGAAGGCAGACTAGAGCTCCCTTGATCCTTCATGGTGTCCATCTCCTGCTCTTCAACATCTTCATCCACAGCCATCTCTCGCTCCAGGCCGGGCAGGAGGTCAACAGTGGTGAGGGGAGAGGCATAGCGGGGCTCGGCGTCAAGGATTAGCTCCGGCTCCTCGTCCAGGTCGTCAGATAATTCATTTAAGTCCTACACACAAAGAACATGACTTTTTTATTTAAATTTCCATCTGTTTTTCACACAAAGCTAAGAAAACATTTTAAAGAGAGTCGTATGAACCACTTTTATGATGTATTTTTTGAGCATTATTAGACAGAAAAAGAGCAATGTAAATATTCTGCTAAACGTCTGCTTTTGTGTTCCTCAAAAGAACGACATAAAGGTTTGGCATGACATGAGGGTGAACGAATGATGAGAGGATTTGATTTTTGGCTGAACTATGGCTTTTACTGCCAATTTTTGTGGGATTTGAACCAACAACCTTCTGGTGACATATTCATTAAGCTAAAATGTTCATATTTATATTAATAGGAAAAAAATCTTTAGTCAAAACATTTATTATATTATATACATTTATTATGTGTGTGTGTGTGTGTGTGTGTGTATATATATATATATATATATACACACATATACACACACATATACATATATATATATATATATATATATATATGAAGAGTTCAGATGCAAAAGCCTCTAAATGCCATTTGAAATTTTCTTCTTTAATGATCATTTTTATCAAACTTGTATATTTAAGTTCAGTAATTTCACTTAAATAACAATTAATAGGTAATTATCACTGCCATTTAAGTGAAATCACTGAACTTAAATATACAAGCTTGATAAAAATTATCATTCTAGAAGAAAATTTCAAATGGCATTTAGAGGCTTTTGCATCTGAACTCTTCATATATATATATATATATATATATACACACACATATACACACACACACATGATAAATGTATATAATATACATTTATTATATTATTATATAGTGAACATTTGTTTCACTAAACTCAGTCTGGTACATTTGTGTGTAAAAAAATCCCTTTAACAGCACACTGATAATAGTTTATAAACTGATTTTTGTGTGATTTGAACTTGCAACCTTCTTCCGACCAACCAAAATCTTGAATCGCAAGGCTAAATTGATCAAATACAAGCAAACATGTTCATATTTATATTGCTTAAATACATAATCTTTATTCAAAACAAGGCCCAAGAGATTTACTACAAAATCTTGTGGGCTTTGAACCTATTGCCAACCAACAAATCTTGAACCACAAGGCCATATCAACCAAATACAATTCAAAAAGATCATATTTACATCTACATTGCTTAAAAAATGTCATCAGTAGTCAAAACAAGGCCCAAGAGGTTTACTACAAATTCTTGTGGGATTTAAACCTACAACCACTTATCTACAGTACTAATCTAATTCTTGAACCACAAGGCCATATCAATCAAATACAAGCTAAAATGTTATCAATAGTACAATTTTACTAAACTCAGTCTGGTACATTTGTGGGTAAAAAAATCCCTTTAACAGCACACTGATAATAGTTTATTAGCCGATTTTTGTGGGATTTGAACTTGCAACCTTCTTCCGACCAACCAAAATCTTGAATCGCAAGGCTAAATTGATCAAATACAAGCAAAAATGTTCATATTTATATTGCTTAAATACATAATCTTTATTCAAAACAAGGCCCAAGAGATTTACTACAAAATCTTGTGGGATTTGAACCTACAACCTTCACTCAACCGACAAATCTTGAACCACAAGGCCATATCAACCAAATACAATTCAAAAAGTTCATATTTACATCTACATTACTTAAAAATGTCATCAGTAGTCAAAACAAGGCCCAAGAGGTTTACTACAAATTCTTGTGGGATTTAAAACTACAACCTTCTGCCAACCGACATATCTTGAACCACAAGGCCATATCAACCAAATACAATTCAAAAAGTTCATATTTACATCTACATTACTTAAAAATGTCATCTGTAGTCAAAACAAGGCCCAAGAGGTTTACTACAAATTTATGTGGGATTTAAACCTACAAACACCAATTCTTAAACCACAAGGCCAGATTAATCAAATACAAGCAAAAATGTTAATATCAATAGTGCTCAAAAACACCATCTTAAGTCAAAACAAGGCCCAAGAGTTTTACCAAACTCAGTCCAAACCTATCCGACTTGGTTTCAGTTTCTGAGTTGATTCCCCCATACCGAAACTCTTGATAACGAAACCCTATGCTACTTTATACCCCTTTTAACATTCTTCCCCTCAAAATCATCCGCTAACAGAAACGTCTGATGTTGGAGGGGGCGTGTAAGGTAGAGACATCTCACCTCCTGTCTGTCTGCCGCATACAAAGCACCTCTTTCTATTCCTGCAACAGGGTGCCGGAGCTTGTCCTCCTCTCCCTCTTCCACACACTTACGGATCATAAGAGCTGAAAGCGCACTTTTCCCCCGTGACGCTCCAACAAGCCGACTCAGCTCCTTTCTCAATCCCCGCCCCCCCCATCCCCACCCTCGTAGAGAGCAGAACCAATTTGCCATGAAAAATGTGCAGAGTCTAAAATCTTAATGGTGCAATTAGTCTCGTTTTGAGTAGATTTACAGCAGCACTTGACTCTGCCGCCTCAATTACATCTTTGCTAAAATTCAAGGATAATACGGTACATTTCAAAGGCCCATAGAGGGGGTCATGCATCACCTCCAAAAAGATTCCTCTCAGGAGGCTCGCTCATTTGTTCCTCTTTTTCTTTCTCGCTTCAGTACATGCTCTCTTTGTTAAATCACAACTGTAGTTGGGTTTCTTTCCTACATATTGATGGACATGAGCCTGTTTACAAATGTTTAGTGCAGAGGTCCAACAACAAAATATTTAGTCTAACTTTATTTTATTAACTTCTACAAACGTAACTAAATTTACTTGCATTTTTGTTTCAAATATTTTTTTCACATTTTTTTTTTTTGTTCAGATCAATCTATATTTGGCAAATCTGCATTACAATAAATGTGATTGCTTTTTTTGTTTGTTTTTAAAGTTTCTATGTATTTAAGACTGGGATTTTTATAAGGTCTATAGTATAGGTGAAAACAGGATTATATAAGTACACACACACATAATATATATATATATACGTATATATATATATATATATATATATATATATATATATATACACGTATATATATATAAATATTTATTAGGGCCGTTAAACGATTTATCGCATCCAAAATAAAAGTTTGTGTTTACATAATATATGTGGGTGCACTGTGTATAATTATTTTATATATATATATATATATATATATATATATATATATATATACTATATATATATATATATATATATATATATATATATATAAAAATACAAACACATGCTTGTATATATTTAAGAAATATTTTCAGGTATATACTGTATATAGATTTATATATAATTTTTGTTATATATAATATTTTTTTCTTAAATATACAAATGTGTGTGTATTTATATATATATATATATATATATACAAACACAAACTTTTATTTTGGATGCGATTAATCACGATTAAGTGTTTGACAGCCCTAATATATATATATATATATATATATATATATATATATATATACTATGGTTCAAAATTCTTATGCTCACGAGGGCTGCATTGTTTTTATCAAAAATACAGTAGAAATAGTAATATTGTGCAATATTAAAATTTAAAATAACCGTTCTATTTTAATATATTTTAAAATGCTATTTATTCAGCAAAGCTAACGCCAGTCATATTCAGCATAATTACGCCAGTCTTCAGTGTCACATGATCCTTCAGAAACCAATCTAATATGCCGATTTGCTGCTCAAGAAACATTTCGTATTATTACCATATTCCTTATTATTATCAATGTTGAAAACAGTTGTTTCTCTTAAATATTTTTGTGGAAACTGTCAACAATTTTTGATAATTTGATAAAAAAACAGCATTTATTTGAAATATAAATCTTCATTGACATTTTCAATCAATTTAATGAATCCTTGCTGAACAAAAATTATTAACTGCTTGCAAAATAATTGAAGTAAAGGCGTATTCTGATTAAATACCTCTGGCATAGATGGGAGAGTGTGGCTGACGACCTGCTGTGCAACTGGTTGCTCATCGGCACCCTCTACAGGCCAAAAGGACTGCTGCCCACTACCTCTGTCCTCTGTCTGTACAGTTCATAAAAACAAAAGAATGCAAAAAATCAATACAAAATAAACAGACATATCACATGCAGCCTTTTGCCACTAGGAGTTAACAATTTAGCTACAAGCCAAACAAGCTTGTTTGGGAGGCTGCATCAAGAAAAAAAAATGGTGAGTTTAAAATAAGAAATAGTCATATTGTGGTGGAAAGAAACGGACACTGTAATGATCCTCAATCCAGAGCAAAACTTAAAAAAAAAATAAAAAAAACACTAATCTAAAATATTTACCCAAATAAACACCTCCAGCACTGAATGTTAATATTATGGGGCTATAATTACATACCGCCAGGGGTTTCCTGATTCCAAGGTAGACTATCCCAGGTGGAGCAGATTTGAGAACCTCTACAGCCTGGGCCAGAGAGCATGTGTCTAGATAGTCGTCATTGACGAAAACCAGCTGGTCACCCGGGTAAAGCCCACCGTGATTGTCAGCTACCCCTCCGGGAACCACAGAGCGTATGACGATCACAGAGCGTGTAACATCCAGAGGGTCCTGCAGAGGGCAATGCAGACCATAGCAAACAGAACAAAACATGAGCAGAGTGGAGCAACAGTGACCGTGATTTAACCTATACGTATCAAAAAGGCAGATCATGAAGACTGCCTTTTAAAGTTTATTCAAATAAGTAAATTTATTTATTTGAATCTTACCACAAACTGAACCAACGCAAGCAGAGAATAGAAGATTGCAAACAAGCAGCCTTCATTCATTCCCATGGTCATTAAAGGTAATACCTTTTGAACTAATCTGAAACGACTTTATAACAGAAATGACTCTGGGATCCACGCATTAAAATCTACTTCCAAAAGAGCATGACAAACTTGCTGGAAGGCCAAATGAGGCCAACTTCCCACTCCAAGAACCCAAGTGCCACAGTATCAATCACATCTCTGGGGAGCTCTGCCATAAAACTGCAATTCAACCGATTTGATGTCTCCAACAATATATTTCATGACCCATATGGGCAGCTTTTATGTGGCGTATGACAATATAAAAGTGATTAACAAGTAGTTATTTGAGAGTAAAAACTGAAGCGGGAGCTCAGTCATTAGTAATCTCATCTATCTGCCCATGAACATTTACGACCAACCATGTCAAAAGACCAGCCGAACACCCAATCTGTGCAGTTTTTTTGATTAACACGAATCTTCGGACAGGCCCACAAAAGACAGGTTCAGATCACAAAGACCACTCAGAACAAGGAGATAAGGATTTTTAACAATGAAATTCAGTGGAAACTGCGAACCAGGAAACTTCACCCAGCCCAAACATTAAAAGTGGGTCAGCAAGTCCAGCAATTACTGCCTCCTGATTACCCAGTGAGCCACTGCTGTACGGCAAGCAGACGAGAAGAGAAAAGCAATTTCAGAGCTAGTGGAACTGAGGCCTGCTAGAAGGGAAAGAATGAGGGGGGGGGGGGGGGGGAAGACAGGAAAAAGTTGGAGAGAGGATTTGAAGTTCCACTCCAGCTGGCGCTTTAGGAGGACACAGGCTGCATTGTCCGGCTGCCGGGTTTCAGCCAAGCATGCTTTGCTTTCCAAGCCCTGCTCTCATCCCACATGGCCAGTGATGTCAGTAGAGCAGCTTTTATATGGAAAAAAAAGGCCAAGAGGAACGGGCCAGCACAGGGGGCTCCTAATACGACAATACGTCACCTTGCTACGGAATAAAGACGGTGATCAGTATGAATGTTTGCATGAGAGACGGAAAGAAAGAGCTAGGTTGCTCCATTTCTTATAGTGTTCATTTGATTTAGATGGTGTACAGTACACGGCTCATTGGGAGAGTAGCTGTCTTCCATGCTACAGGTGTGAGGAACATCGCAGCATCCAAAGAAAACAAAAATCCCAGAAGTTCCTGGCTTACAACATTTCCACACAACCATCGGCAGCTAAAAATAGCCAGATTTGGTTTAAATGAGTTTATGGCAACGGTAACAGTTCCATCATGATGTTTTCCTGTGGTCTACATAACCTTAATAATGGTCGAAGCTCTCCGCTAGCTAACGGATGGGGCATTAGCGTTGGCTGCCCGGAATGGATCTCCCATATTTCTTGCTGGCTTAGGTTTACTACAGTCTCCTCCAAGCGTTCCCTTTGCTGGCCCCGCTTGTCGAACGGGTTGAGATTCTTCAATGTGGTGTCAGGCGGACAGTAAATCTGCTGTTTTGCAGGATTCAACGGCAGGCCAAGTCATCTGTTTCGCTCCTGCGCTCTGACTCACCTTCAATCTTGCTGAACAGAATACCAGGAACTCCAGGACGTCGGTCTCTTGCTTTTTCTCTTTTAATCTTTTTTCAGTTGTTCTGACCATAGTTTGCTTTGAGAGGAGAAAGGATGCCACTTCCACGGACAAGCAAATTGCACAATCACATCAATTCCTCAAAAAAAAACAACAACCTTTGTTTAGGTATAAGGCCATTTTAGTTAAGCTACAGCATTACCTTTGCATGGTAAACAAAGGTCAAACACAGTAACATGAGGACAATTTAAGCTTTTTGCTGTTCCAATTCAAAATATACCATGACATTCAAAGAAAAATGAAATGCATGCCAAAATGTTACCCAGTTTATTTGTTTTGACATTTGTTCACTTAAGCCGCTTTCACACAGAGATTCCGGAAAATACACGGATAACGATAACGTAATTGTTTGATTTCGGTTCATTCACACTGCCAATGATTTGCGGGGATCTGTGAGTGCGTTCACACACAACCCATAAAGATCCCAGAAAGACGCATGACGTCAGGATGAGACGTGTAACGTACGCGTCGAAAACGGGTACATGCGCATACCGTTCCACAAAGCTGGTGAACGATCTCAGTGAGGAGCTCCTGGTCTCTGCTTCGTTCCAGTTTGCAGACATTTGTTCGTCCTTTCTTTGTTGATGACGAACACAAACTTTCTTCTAAGAGCAACAGTCGCGCGATGGCACGAGCGTCATCACTATGACACACCCCTTACGGCATTGGTCCTGGCTTTTGTTCGCATAACATGCGTTCCGGGACTGATTCCGGCAACGTTACTAGGTCCCCAACCCGGGATCGATGCTGGTACCAATCCCGGGTCGTGTTTGCGTTCACACAGAAGGCGTTCTGGCAATTTCCCGCCAATTTCCCGGTATCAACGTGCTGAACACAAACTTTCTTCTAAGAGCAACAGAGTCGCGCGATGGCACAAGCGTCATCACTATGACACACCCCTTAAGGCATTGGTCCTGGCTTTTGTTCACATAGCGCACGTTTCGGGACTGATTCTGGCAATGTTACTAGGTCCCCAACCCGGCATCGATGCTGGTATCAATCCCGGGTCGTGTTTGCGTTCACACAGAAGGCGTTCTGGCAATTTCCCGCCAATTTCCCGGTATCAACGTGCTGAACACAAACTTTCTTCTAAGAGCAACAGAGTCGCGCGATGGCACAAGCGTCATCACTATGACACACCCCTTAAGGCATTGGTCCTGGCTTTTGTTCACATAGCGCACGTTTCGGGACTGATTCTGGCAATGTTACTAGGTCCCCAACCCGGCATCGATGCTGGTATCAATCCCGGGTCGTGTTTGCATTCACACAGAAGGCATTCTGGCAATTTCCCGGGATCAACACGCTGTGTGAAAGGGGTTTCAGTGTTTTCTCACAACTAGCTATGACGCTATTGTAAGGTGCATTGAAGTCTTGATGCTAGTCATGTAAAAAGAGTCACACAACAAGGAAGAACAATGCATCAGCCATTGTTTATTATAAAACTTACAGCTGTGGGCAGCTGTTTGACTTAGGAACAGGTGGCATGGACAGTGCAGAAATGACAATGGCAGTAAATCCAAACAAAGCTCCCTTGGATCTGGTACAAATCGGATCCTAATATTGGTGGACACCGATGAGAAACAACATGATGTTAATCATAATGCATATTCTTCTTCAACATATTAACATTTATGATGGTGTCTACAGTCGATTTGGTAGCTTATTTACCTGCAAGGGTAATAAAATAGCCCTCGGTCAGTTTCTGTAGCTTCAGGCCACAGAATAAATAAACTGCGATAAATAAATAATACCACACCGAGATGATTTATGACTCTCCTTTAAAACATTCAGTGGATTAGAGACTAAATGCTGTATTGATGTGCAGGTTAGGCTTTTTGAACCATCGAAAATGATTCAAAAATGCATTCTCTCAGATCTCTTCTCCTTGGACAGCATGAATTATTGGAGCCAAGCATTCACAACCTACGTAACAAACTTGTTTTCCACAGAGAGAGTTTACAGCCCACTTGCAAAATGGCATTTGCAGACGCAAGACCCTTCTGAGAACATATTGCAGCTCAAATTCTGCATGTTCTTCATGCTCTTATTTTAAACTAAAAGTTTATTATTTTTGTGAACAGAGACATTTTCCTTTTTGAAGCTGGTGTTAAGCTACATTTAGCTTAAAGGGATACTCCACTTTTTTTGGAAACAGGCTCATTTTACCACTCCCCCAGAGTTAAACAGTTGGGTTATACCATTTTCGAATGTATTCATACTATGGAAGTCAATGAGACCAGAAACTGTCTGGTTACTGATATTCTTCTAAATATCAGAAAATCAGCTGAATGGATTCAAAAACGGTAAAACTCAACTGTTTAGCTCTGGGGGACTTAAAATGAGCCTATTTCCAAAAAAAAGTGGAGTACCCCTTTAACATAAGCTACATCTACCCTGAACCCTTTGCAGAAGAGCTTCTCAATCATACTTCTGTTCAGCCTGGCAGCACCATGACTTCATACACAAATTCAATAGTTACTAACTTTTAGTAATGACTTTGAAATGGCCATGTTATAACCCCGCTTAAAACAGCTCAATTCTTCAGATCAGTTGACTTTCAAGACTCTTCAGATCAAGATGACCTTCATTAATCTCCATTACTAGGATGGCTAGGACGACCAAGGGGGTCCTTCTCATGTTGCCATGCAGTGCTTCTTACTTCGAGATCCCCTTCTTGTCAGAGCAAAAAAAACCGAGCCATGACCCCAAATGGTTTCGTCGTCGCCACTTCACTTCACTCACGCAGTCAGGGGTGTCATTTAGGGAAGAAAAACTCCCTGGTTTCCAGCTGTCAGTGTGACCGTGGGCTACCATCAATCTAGCTGTGGTTACAAGGTCTCCTTGCTTTGGGGGTAATATTAGCGGTTGAGATGAGAAGAGTAGAAAGTGGGTGGTAGAAAGAGGGGGAGACTGAAGGTTCTCGAAGGCTCCAAGCATGTCTGCAGGTCTCGACGCGGCCTTATCAACTTAGGCCTCTTACTGGAGAGAGCGGCAAAATCAATTTCCCCCTTTGCAGACTTGAGAGGCCCTCGCGGGAAACGGAAAAGAACTCAAGACGAAAGGTTGAGAGATTCCTCCTCCATTAGAAGACCGTAGAAGGCCATACCCATCATTGCATTGTGGGAGTTGCACTTTAGTATTTCTGGCAATTCCTTACAGCTCATACATTTATGGACATTTTAACACTTCTTTCCCAACTCTGCAAATGCCTACACCCCCCTCCTCCTCTGAATCAATTCCCACCCATCATGCATGAGGCCCTCGGGTTGAAAAGCGTTAGTTTCGGTGCAGATAAGCAAACATACGGGGCTAGGTGGAGGGGGCTCAGCTGGTGCAGAGCGCGAAGACGGTGAGTTCGACCGAGGGGAAGCTGCACAGGTCAATATGGCTTCCAATAAACCCTAGGGTGCACCAGCAACTCCTCCAGAAGATCTGCAAAGTAAGCTTTAGCACTACAGCCTCTTCATGACAATGATCTATGATCCAAGTTGCGGGACTGAATTTCTTCTCTTCTCACCTTGGTGGGGATGAGATCATCTCAAATTCAGACCATCGATGGATGCGGTATCGATGCAATTAGTTTGTACTTGTTCATGCAGCAAAAACAAACAAACAAAAAAGAATCCCACGTAGCCTCATACAATCTCGTAAAAGCAATACAAAAATAAAACAAAGGACTTTGAGTCAGCAAAACATTTTTTTTTTTCTCAAGCTCAGAGCATTTGGACCCAAGTCCCCTCCTCCATGTTCATTCCTTCATTTCCCAGAGAGATGAAGAGAAAGGAAGAATTTAAGGGATCAGTGCTCAGGTTATCGCCATTAAGCGGCAATGTAATTCTGTCCATGTTGTCACGGCCCCCATCATTCCTGGCAGCCTCTGACGAGGAAAGAAGCATACCTTACCAATAAAATATGATCCCCGTTCACTTTCGCCATGATGCGGTAGCCATTTATTATAGTCCTGATGAAGTTGCAAAAGAATGGGCATGCTTTTCTCCTGCCAATACCATTCCCCTGCATGAAATCAATTGGAACCCATGGCTGGATAATATAAAACACTGGGCGTCCCACAGGAGTGGTGAAGAGCAGATCTGCAGGAGAGGTTCTGCATTCTAAGTGGCCTCATTACATGATCACTTCTGATTCAGGATCAACGTGCAGTTATGTACTAACCCTGATTAGAGGGCTAATGAACGAAGGAGGAAAGCAGCTTTACGTACTAAGTGAGCAGAGCAAAGGGTTTGACGGTTGGCACGAGGCCAGATAAACAGCGGCCCTAGTTAGAAAGGTTTCACTGCTTTCTTTTGTTCAGTGTCCAAAGACTTGTGACATCAATGCAAGTTTCCTATGATCACACTTTAGTAAAGTCAAAGGGGATTCATTGAGTCAGGGCTCCTTTTTTCCTCCTGCTTAAAAGGAAAGCTGATTTTTTCTTTACTTATTTACAGAAAATATGGATCAATGGTTAGAACAAAATGTAACTTATGGTCTGATATTTGTTATGTATTACAGTTTTTCGCAAGGCTGCAGTATATAAACATTATGGTCAGGGTGTTTTCTAAACTGCAGACGTATAAAACTTCTGCCATTAATTTACTCTGAACTACTTAACATAAGGTTTCCAAGCAATCAGGAGATTTCTACGATTTTTGTCAGCTTTAATATATAATCCATTTTTGATGTTTTTTTTTTTTTTTGCAAATCTTACTGGAGTTGGATTTTTAAAATCTCCCTTTTACTTAATTCTACATGACCTTCAATCAATAAGTTTGTTCAACATTTAAAATGTAACGGATCATAAAGACATTATCATAATATTTGTAAACTGAGTTGTGATTGAACCTCTTCCTTATATCGGTTTGCATACTGAAATGCGATTAGTCCTGTATTTACTGCATATATTTATAGCTGACTTTACAGTGCACGGTACCCGTGCCGATTCCTACATGCAGTTGAGATAAAACAAGACTGAAAGATATCTAATGATAAATATATGGAGGGGGAGAGAAAAAAGAAAAAGAAATGAGGTAATTCCCCACCTGATAGTCTAGTATGCTGAAGCCAAGACCTCGCTCTCCTTTCTCTAGTTCTAGCACCTGCACATTCGGAGACCAAAGAGCCATTTCCCCTTCATCCTCCTCCTCTTCTTCTTTTTCTTCATCATCCTTCTCCTCATCCATCTGCTCTCTCTCAGGGCCGCTTGACTCAGGAGGCTCTCCTTCATCGTCAACCTCTTGCTCCATTGCAAATGCCTGACGGTCCTGAAAAGAAAAGCACAAATCATGTTGAGCTAGTTCTCAATTGGTGGGTCATGACCCAAAAATGGGTTGCAGGTCTGTTCTGATGAGATCGATTAATCAATCAAATGCTCAAATCAAACAAACCATAAAAAACAAGTTGATCATGTTACAAATTTTTTACGTATTTTTTATGTAATACATTTTGAACCTAGTTTGATGTAAATTTTTGGTGCCATATGATATCCAATGTAAAATCTAGATCCTGAAGCAAAAATAATAGAGAACTACTGAGCTAAAATAGAGCAGTGATGTTTTATTAGAGGATATGGACAAACCTGTAACTCTTCCCTTATGCTGTTGCGTAGACTTGTATCTTTGGCAAACATGGAGAGGTTCTCCTCAATCTGTAAAATTAATACAAAATTATTTTACAGTTCCAAGTATTGGCCAATTCCGAGTAACTTCCCAAAGTCAGTTTTTACTCATATTTGGCAGTTGGTGAGTGTTCATTTTGGACCCTGTGCATGTATTTTTCTGTTACCTGCTCCTGTAGGCTGGCTGAGGGGCTGGATGAGTGCCACTCTTCAGATTCAGGTTGGTATTCGCTGCCCTCTTCAGCGAGACGCCTGCAACAGACCAAAGTAAAGGGAGGAGGAACTTCTCTGAGGAACGCAACAGCCTCTCGCCTAGACTTCCCATACAACTGCACGCCATTCACCTGCAAATACAATACACATTTTATTGGGAGAAAATTCACTTACATAAACATAAAGAATATGTAACACTGCACGGTTTCCCAGATCAGTCAGTAGGAATACAAAAATAGTCTCTGTGACATCCACTGGTCATCTTTGATTGGCATTTCATGGAGTGGGCAGGCCTGGAGCTGCTATGGCGAGTGGGGGCGGCACTGTGCCATCTGCCCAAACCAGGGGGAAACCATAGGCTCCACACATGCTTTTCCTTACACACACAAACCAAACACCAACACCCTTGCTGCACCATTGGGCTTGCAAGCATCAAGGAAGACCAAGAAAAAATATTAGGATACTGGTTACACTAAAATATGGGATTTTTATAAAATGCATTAGCCCCAGGACGGAGCCTTGAGGTACGCCACATCTAATAAGCCACTTCCCCTACAGCCCTGAAAATCTCCCCTACTTTAACCATCCATCCGGCCTTCAGCCGCCAGACCAGGTGGGAGGGGGAGGTTTAGAGGGAAGGGGGCAGGAAGCAAGGCCAGTGGGGAGGTTAGGGCAGGGGACAGTCATGCAGATGGCCTCGGTCAGACTCAGGAGCCCTCCTGCCAGAACATCTATGAGCCAGCAGCAGCAGCAGCAGCAGCAAGCCTTCCTGGAGGCTTGGTGCTGGCAGGATGCAAAGGTCAGTGTTATTAAGACAACTGAGAAGAGGCTCACCAAAGCAAGCCAAAAGCAAAACTGCAGGCTGGCCAAACACTGGGAGCCCACCGAAACCATAATGCCAAACAGAGAGGGTGCAGGGAGGACCCACGTCACCAGTGTAGATGCGCTTTAATATTACTTTACCTCCAGAAGTTCATCCTCTGGTCGAAGTAGCCCGTGTTTTGCCACAGGGCCCTCAGGAGCCACTGTAGAAATGTAGTGGTGTCCATCAAAAGAGTCTAGTTCCACGCCCAAGCGCATTGTGTGTATTGGTAGAAGCTGTAGAAACATAAGTTCACAATTATGCAAACGTTGCGAGTCACTACGGAGTGTGGTGTAGATTAAATGTATATCTTGATATGTCCATTTTCAAAAAAGTCTTGATATGAAATGGACATTCTCCATTAAAGGAGTAGTTCACTTTTTTAAAAAACGTTTGCTGATAATTTACTCAACCCCATGTCATCCAAGATGTCCATGTCTTTCTTTCTTCAGTCGAAAAGAAATTAAGGTTTTTGATGAAAACATTCCAGGATTTTTCTCCATATAATGGACTTCAATGGGAACCAAACGGTTCAAGGTCCAAAAGACACTTTCAGTGCAAACTGCAAACTGTTCAAAGGGCTTTAAACGATTCTAGACGACGAATAAAGGTCTTATCAAGCAAAACGATCGGTCATTTAATAAATAAATAACAAAGTTTAAATTTTATGAGCTCAAATGATCGCCTTGCTCTGTTCTGTGATGCGCGTTCGTAACTCTCGAACTCGTTCATCAAAATGAACGAATCTTTTCCCGAGTCAATTCGTTCATTTCATTCGTTGAATGAACCAAATGACACGAAAAAAGATTTGTTCATTTTGATGAACGGTTTTGAACAGGACACTCACCAAACGCGCATCACAGAACAGAGCAAGGCGACCATTTGAGCTTATAAAACTTAAACTTTGTTATGTATTTATTAAATGAGCGATCGTTTCGCTTGATAACACCCTTATTCATCGTCTGGAATCGTTTAAAGCCCTTTGAACAGTTTGCAGTTTGCACTGAAACTGTCTTTTGGACCTTGAACCGTTTGGTTCCCACCGAAGTCCATTATATGGAGAAAATCCTGGAATGTTTTTATCAAAAACCTTAATTTCTTTTCGACTGAAGAAAGAATGGCATGGATATCTTGGATGACATGGGGTGAGTAAAATATCAGCAAAAGTTTTTTTTTTTAAACTCCTTTAAAGGGTTAGTTCCTCAAAAATGACAGCTACGGCAACTTTCAAGTCCAAGAAAGGTGGTAAAAAAATTGTTAAAATAGTCCATGTGACTACAGTAGTTCAACCTTAATGTTCTGAAGCAATGAGAACCCTAAAATAACGACTTTATTCAACAATCTCTTCTCTTCCATGTCATTCTCATATGCTGTTGACGTAGTGTAAATAGTGCTGCTCTTCTAAGTTCTATGTAAGAAAGTATGCTCATTATTAGCAGACGCTGGTCATGTGTGTGATGCTGGCCAATAGTGAGCTGACGTTCTGACCCTGCGATGTGTTTACACTAAGTCAACAACCTATGAGAATGACATGGAAGAGAAGAGATTGTTGAATGAAGTGGTTTTTTTGGGAGGGTTTTTGCTCACAAAAAGTATTCTCGTCACATCATAATATTAAGGTTGAACTACAGTATTCACATGGACTGTTTTAACAATGTTTTTACTACCTTTCTGGGCCTTGAAAGTTGCAATGATGTTACGGTCAATGGAGGGACAGAAAGCTCTCAGATTTCATAAAAAATATCTCCAATATCTCCGTCTTACGGGTTTACTACATGAGGGAGAGTCATTTATGACAGAATTTTCATTTTTGGGTGAACTAACCCTTTAAAATGAATAATCATACGTATATTTTTACTACAACTATTAAAAGCAAGGTGAGAACCTCAACAGACCCTTTTTCGTGTGATCATGCATACAAATTGTTCAGGGTTATGAACAAATCCAATGAAACAAATTGATTAATGGAAATGAATTGAACTAACTTGTGAGCAGCTAAAAAAAAAACCCCATCTAATATCGTAATGCTCTCATGTTTGCAAGTCATGAGACAAAGAAGGATTGCGTGCGACTAACTTGCCTCCATCTCCACTATATATTATGAATATTTGATAGATCGCCCAGCCCTACTATAGAGTGCTGAATGAATCATAAATTGTGACTGCTGTTTCCACGTTACCTTGGAGTACTTCTGTAGCTCAATATCATCTTCTATGACAGGGTCAAGCTGTACAACCTGTAAAAAATAGAATAGAATGCATATAAAAAGATTAGTATAACAAATAAAATAAAAATAATCCTAAAACCAAACCAACTCCATAGTGGTGACCTGTTGCGGTCAACACACTCCCTTTATGGTAAATAAACCCAAACAACAGTATATCAGCACGTGAACTCAAATCCAGTAGGAGTCAATTGAGGCAATCTACGGCCAGATTTAGCTGGTCGATCGAACATCTCTTATCACAGCATGCGTAAGTGCCGGCGGTTCTTGCTGATTTGCAGTTTGCTTCATGTTTAATTGAGAGCCGCACTTAGCATCTGTTAACATTACTTCCCCTTCGTTTTTGCTTACCATAACATCGTAATGCGGACCAAGCGCCTGCTCCCATTTAGCACGAAGCTCCATCTCCGTCAGCGGGGCCAGCTCTTGCACTACAACACACACAATAATGAGAGCAGCGTTTAAAGTCAATTACCGCCATTTGGGTGCCCACTGTCCGTGACAGAGTGAGTGGAAACGTATGACATTAATGTCAGGTGCCGCATACTAGCACGGGATTGATGTCACATTGACGGATGAATATAATCAGAGGGCTGAGAGTGCGCCGAGGGCAAGAGTTGAGAGAGGAGTCAGCAGTGATACTGCAGAAAACGACAACGGGACGCCAGGGAACAATATCGGCTGAAAGCCCAAAGGGCAATGGAGGCAAGTAAATGGGTGGAACAGCTTTTATGAGCACTTGTGACCCTTAACTATGATATTGTGGGATTTCAGAGAAAATGTGTTCTTCTTTAGTCTAAGCTGTAAAATTTATGCCATGAATCAGGTACAATTTGGTGTCCCACTTTATAAAAAATAAATAAGACACTTTTTAAATATGTTGATAAAACTTAGCTGACATGAAAAGTAGCTAGTTTCAAAAGCATCAATTGTCAGTATACCAGCTTAAAATGTTGATTTTTGCCTGTTGTTAAATTTTTAGTTGTATGCCACAAATTAAAAGCATACATCATAACTACATTCACTAACTGATTTTTATTTCATCATAGTAAAAAAAACTTTAAAATTACATTTTTATTATCAAAAACTTAAAAAAAATTAAAATAAATACACTATCGTTCAAATGTTGAGTCTGTAAGATTTATTAATGTTTTTGAAAGTCCCTTATGCTCACCAAGGTTGCACTTATTAGATCGAAAACAGTAAAAACAGTAATGTGAAATATATTTTTTGGAGTCACGGTTTTCTATTTGAATATATATATATATATATATATATCACATGATCCTTCAGAAATCATACTATGTTGATTTTGTGCTCAAGAAACATTTCTTCTTATCATTAATGTTAGGATTGCTTTTTAGGATTCTTTAAAGAATGAGAAGTAATAATAAAAAAAACAACGTTTATTTGAATTAAAAATCTTTCGTAAATATAAAAAAAATATTTCTGTCACTTTTGATCATTTTGATGCACACTTGCTGAACAAAAATATACATTTCTTGTTTAAAAAAAAAAAAAAAAAAAAAAATTTGTACCGACCCCAAACTTTATATTTTATTAAAGACAAAAACTGGAAAGCCTCGTATTAAATGTATGAAAAATAAGCTCATTTTACTGACCACTTGTACAAAAAGCCAAAAAAAAAACAAAAAGGCCGTGTTGTGGCCTGGTATGCTAAAGCATGTTACATTAAAAAGTGAAGTCAGTGAGTGAGTGAGAGCAATGGATGCAGACCTGATTAAATTAGCATTGCTAACACCTCACTTGCAACACCATTAATCACAAATGTTTGAGTACATTAATACAGCAATGCATCGCTTCTACACGTGGGACGTCAAACCCCAGCCAACATCTGCAGCCCAGGTGCGGCACAATGGAAAATATGGAGAACAGGGGAAATGTTGATCACGCCAATGGCTTGTTATGTTTATGTATCAGGAAAAACTCTGCTGACAACGAGAAAGAATGTCCCACCGCCTATCCAAACGTCACTCAACATTCAACAGAGGGCATCACAAGGGAAATGTTACTACAGACCCACAAAAGTTGATTAAATGAGCTTTTACTTAGTACTTCCTATGGTTTTTAACTGCTGTGGGCATTTCTGGAGCAACTGTGGGGTATAATTATACCAACATGGACCGATTGTCAACTGTCTCTGTGTTTGAGCGTTCTCGCTGTCAACTTTCGAATGATTTTAATGGGTCAAAACTGGGAAAAAGTGCAGAAAACCCGGCAGCAACTAGTCCGTGTTGTCCACTTTTTTTTTTTTTTTTTAAATAGTAGGGCTGAAACACATCTGTTTCCAGAGTTTTTCAACTTTAAAGGACACAAAAGAAACACGTTTAATGGCACTTCCAGGGTCGTTATCTTTAAAATCGAAGGGTGAAATTTAGCAGTTCACTTATCAAATGACACATCAATGTACCAAAACAGTCAAGCGCTATCCATAAAAGAAAATATTTAAACATCTACGCACTCACATGGCAGTACAATTTCTAAGACCACAGGGGGAAAAAGTTGGAGGTGAAAGCATGATTAAAGCGGTGTGTGTTTTGACTTGAGGGCGGCTATCATTTTACACGTGCTATGACTCCAGCTTTGGGAAATGAGTCCCTGACAACCAATCATTGTTATCCCGGGCATGCACTGGCCCAGTGCAACAAAACGCTTTATTTAGGAGTTTGGCAGGTACCGGGTCTTGTCCGGATTAATTAGGGCAGAATGTAACTAGAGCTCCGGGCTGCTTCGGCCTCAGCCAAGGCCTGCTCTTCCGCTTCCAGTACGCCTATCGCCATATTTATATCTGCCGATTAGTGAGGCTGAAACAATGCCTGCTAAGCTCGCTTTAGAAGCTGGCCTGAATCTGACCCCCATCCAGAGGGGAGCGCAATCAGACCAGATTCCTCACTCTAAAGCCCTACAGTGTATGTGACGAAAATACCTAGTAACCTGTAACTCTTATATTGAGTTATAGTCAGCACATAACTTATTTGGTCTGGTTCTCAAGGGAGCACCTGGAGTACTCACACTTTACGCGGCACACTTATCCTACAAGCTGTCATCATCAATTTCCTCCTGACTGCGCTCCTTACAAGGGCTGTGTATCACGTGACTGTGATTACAAGAGGTAAAAACGATATAAATACTGTTCGTTTTCTCACACAAACCGCTCGTTTCGTGTCTTAGGCCATCAATGTGTACTTACATTTACGAGTCATTAAATCTTGTTTAATTTGGACTTCTCTGTGCATGCTCTTTGAGGTGGTGACCATAGACCTCCATTATATGACTGATAGACAAACGGTTTGACCTAAAAATATCAAAATCGAAAATACTGCGGAAACAAAGACACCTACATCTTGGATGCCCTTGAGGTAAGCTAAAACATAGCAAAAATTATTTTCAAAGTGAACTATCTGTTTAAGGATGAGCAGAACAACTGCCGTCAAGCTGGTCTTATATTATTTGCCGTCTGCCATACCGGCCAATATTGTTGAGCACCTGTATGTGTGTGAACGGACTCACTTTTCTCCTGCAGCTGTTGTTTGAACCCACTCAGAGCAGGGTCCATCGACTCCACCACAGAGCCCCTCTGATCCGCACGCGCCTTGATCTCAGACGATCTCTTCAGAGACACACGCGACGACTCTCTCTGGACTGTGTACGCACAGACATGCAAGTATAAACATATATACTTAATGCTGAATCATATTTGTAACCAGACTATAACAGCAATTTTTAAAATTTCTTATTTATATATAAAAAATATCAAATTGTAAAGTCAATCCAAGACTACTGAAGATCATAAAAACAGCAAAAAAGCAATAAGGGGTAACACTTTACTTGAAGGGGTGTGCATAAGACTAACATGAAACCTTCATAATCATGACATATGTTATGAATATGAAGGAAGTTTTATGCATGTTTGTGACAACTGTCATTAAGTGTCAATCGCTCAGTTATTACATTTTTTATGCAAATATGACATCTTTGTTATGACACCTTGACATAAACCAATACATCATAACCTGGCTGTGTCTTTGTCATGACAGCTTGACATGCTGTTGATGGCAAGTAATTTATGAGTGTGTGTGTTTGACAGCCCAGTTATTACAAATATTATTTATTTTCTTTACTTAAAAGGAACCAAATGAATGATTTATAAGATTAAAATAAAAAAATAATTAATCTTCATATTTAATATTCTAAATCTCTAATATATACTAAGTACATTACTATACATTAAAATTGAATATTCATTCTTATTTGTACATTTTAAAGAAATTGATAACGTAGGGATAATTATTATTATTATTGAATTCATTCAGATTTATATAAAAATGTCCTGTTTTTATACAGTTTGAAAGCCCAATAATTTAACATATTTAGTTTCTTAAAAATTAATGGAATGCACAAAAGTGAAATTTTAATATTTAATATTAAATATAAATACTTGTGTTTGAATTTGCTGTTTTGATGCAATAGCTTTACATATTATTTGTTTTCTAAAAAATGAACATTTAAATATACTATAAAATATTTGTTTGAATTTCTAGTTGATGCAGTTTGAAAGGCCAATAGTTTCACATATTATTTTCTCCAATTAATTAAACGTGTTACAATTAAAAGTAAAATTTGATCAAAAATAATTAACTTTTTTTTAATGTACAGATCTGATCCAAATTCCAAACATGTCACTTTACCTTTATCTAGCGATTTCTCTACGCTCGTTCTCTTGGGTGAGATGATCTTCCTAATGAGGGTGAGGTGTACGATATCGCCTGTCCGCTTCATTACTTCCAGGACTTCCTGGTTGGTGAATCCCTGAAGGTTCACGCCATCCAACTGTGCACACAGACACAAAGACAATCAAGAAGTCACTGTAGGCCCAGCTAACCGGGCGGGCTCTCCAATTCACCTCAAAGGGACTGATTAGCCTAGCGTGAGGCTGGGGAGAGCATGACAGCTGACCGCGTCCACGCTCAAACCCGCTCTTATTAAACTGTGAATCGACTCAAGATGAAAGAGACGTCTCGCTTAGTTGGCGTCCTGTTCTGTCAGAGCGCTCGTACAGACATGAGGCTAATTAAGGTAGAGCTCATTAAAAAGTGATTAAGAACCCACTGCTATTATCCTGTCGTGGACATGGATTTTCCCGCTCTGCTCAGCGGCGCTGCCTGGAACCACGTTCTTCACGAAGACCCCCACCGCATCTGACACGCAACAAAGACGAGAGTAAATAATAATTAACAGCACACTGATTAGTAGTTGGCTTTCTGGAAAAAAAAAAAAACAAGGCGAAATATGTTTCTTACCCTCAGTGGTCAAAGCGTTGTATCCAATTATAGAGATCCCAAGGCTCTGGCCCTCCTTCTTTTTTAACGCAACTTCGTGGATTTCGTAGCCCTCCAAATTCGGCTGCATAAATAATAGATCAGATACTGACACTGAGTGTAGAAACAGTTTATAAACATTGTACATTTATGAGGTGAATCATGTTCAGCCATATTTGTACCCGCTCTTTCAATATGTTCGTTTTTCCAATCTAATGGGAATCTATCTATCCAATAGGACTCTTCTATATGTACAGTATATATATATATATATATGGTGTCAATGGAGGTAGATCAATAATATTGTTGAATATTAAATGTCTAAGTAATCCAAAAGCCAAAAGCGACAGCGGCAAAGAACCAAAACTCCATTGGATGACAGAATGGAGAATAAAACCTTAAAAAAATATACTTTTTAATCCATCCATCCATCCATGTATGTTTGGTTTTCCAATCTATCTAATGGGATTCCATCTATCCATCCATCAGTTGTCTTTATTTTTTGCACTGTAACATTTTTTTATAATAAAAAAAGCATGCTGTCCTTCAATTTCTCACTGCAGTAATACATCTGGATATTTTACTCGAATATTATTTCAATGATTATTTTACTGAATATTCTAGATCTCATAGATTCTCATATATTTTAAGGGTGCTTAACTGATAATGAAGAAATGTCTTGATAAAATAAAATAAAAAATAGTTCAAAACATTGCCTTATTATTTTTTCTTTTTAATTATATTGGTTTTTCCACTTGTAGACTTGAAATGGATAAATTCAAGAGGTTGTGGAATGGATTCTTGAAATTTATTCGAACAATAAGATCAGACTTTGTCTGAAACATAATACCTGAGGCACTCCCCTGTTCCTATTCTTGCTACGATTTGTATTTTTTATTTATTTATTATTATTATTTTATTAATTTTGTTTTTTATTGATTTTCTTTGTCGTTTTGGAGAAAAATTATGATGTAGGACAAGGACAAAGATGCTGTATAATAAGACCAAATGTGTATTTATGTCTTGCAACGTCAATAAAAAATACAAAAATAAAAATAATAATTATATTGGTTTTGGGGGGTTATGAAGAGAGTCTAAAATTCAATATTAAAATATATAGCATAAAGATTGGTATTATGTGACATTGCACGGTAAAGCTAATCATCATAATAACAACCAATCAAACATTCACTGAGTCGTTCTAAAGCTGGTGTACTCTGTACCGTTTTGCTGCCCCTGCGAGCTGGCACGGGAGGTGGAGGTGGCAGGGCGGTGATGGGAGCTGTGGCAGGGGCAGGTGGAGGTGGAGGCTGGGCTTCCTCCAGTGGGTCTCGTGCGATCAGCATCCGCACACGGCTACCGCAGGACTGCAACACCTGCACCACCTGCTCACTGGCCAGACCCCGGGTGTGCGTCTCACCGATCCGCAGGATGTAGTCACCTGTTCTCAGCCTCCCGTCCTGGGAGGGATACAAGAGAGAATGGAGAAGGAAGTTGAAGTCATCATAAATGAGGTGAATCTATCCATCCATACATCTATCGATCCAAAAAACCCTCTCCCTCTCCAAATGACATTCATGTAAAAAAGACAATATTATAATACATCCAGATTGTAATTACCATTATCACAAATCCCCCTAAAACTACACCTCGGACTCTACAACCCTCACTTACCATGTTAAATGTTAAAGTTCATGGCAGTAAAATTAAAAAAAGACTATGTATGATATGTTTGGAAGGGTTGTCAGGAGAAAGCTTCTTCTCTTTAAAAAGAACATGGCAGCACGACTTAGGTGTACAAAGTTGCACCTGAACCAGATGAGACCAAAGTGGAGGTTAGGGTCAGGTTATGTTTAATAATGTGGAGCCGGAGCTCATACCAACTGCCCATCACACTGATGGAGGGTTGATGATTTCTGGCTTGTTTTGCAGCCAGAGGACCTTGGCACCTTGCAGTTGACCATGAACTCCTCTGTATTCCAAAGTATTCGAGAGTCAAATGTGAAGCCATCTGTCCGACAGCTAAAGCTTGGCCGATATTGGGCCATGAAACAGAACAATGGTCACAAGCACAACAGCAAATCTACAACAGAATGGCTGAAAAAGGTGTTTCACTAACCCAATCAAAGTCCAAGACCTCAACCCGACTGAAACGCGGTGACGGGACTGCATGAACAGATTCCCACAAAACTCAATGTAACTCAGGCAACATTGTAAAGAAGAGCGGACCAATGTTCCTCCACAACTATGTGAGAAACTAATAAAGTCATACAGAAAATGATTACTTCAAGCTATTGCTGCTAAAGCTGGTTCTACAGGCAATTGAATCGTAGGGTGTACTTAGTTTGTCACTCATGGCTTGGCCTTATTTGTGTTAAATAAAGGTCATATGTTGGTCTTAACCTTATTTTAAGACCAGGGTCCTCTCAGAAAACTCTTATTTTGCTTAAAAACTTTTATGTAGGAGTCTTAGCTTAAAAGCGATTTGGGACCGATCTGAGAGCAAACCTGGGTAAGGAAAAGATAAAGACTTTCATCTTAGTGAGGAGGCGGGGTTTACCCCATTACTACGTATGACACAATCTTTTGAAGACTGTGATTGGTTGGATGTCCAAGAAGGAAAAAAAAAGACTTAGAATAGGGTCTATTCTAATGCCTAGTTCACACTACATGATTTTAAAATGTCGGGCTGAACTGTGCAGTTCACACTACATGACTTGCTCTCAGTGAAATCATGAGTGTTCAAGTTGTTTAGCTGTTCACACCACACAACACAACGTGATTGATCCACAACAGGAGGTAACTCACTACATGAGTTAACAACGCACTACATAGAGATACAACCACGATCGGATGATAAGAGCATATCATTTGTGACTCAATGAGAGCTGTTTCAGTACTATAGTACGGTCTAAATTCTGAAAATAATCAAACAAATAACGAGTTGATAACAACACGATTCTATCTGGTCTAGAAACCATGTTTTGTAACGAAAAACCACGCAATAAAACGAACCAGAAATGACGCGAAACTGCAGAGAAGAACACAACACGCGAATATGGACGTCAGACAGAAACTAGTGCTGCACACTGTTTGCTCGACGATCTGCTCTGAGAAAAAAAAATGCAAAAAAGAAAAAGTAAGATTTACCTGGTGTCCTCAACCCATGCGTTGCTATGATTAGCTGTACTCATGACATCACTGAGATTGAGTCGCGCGACTGCTCGAGATATCTAGCATGCTAGATATTTTTCTGAGCTCGGTGACCTGTCTGCGAGCTGTCTTTGATGCGTTGTTGGCTCTTTCACACTAACGGATTGGCGAGCGTTAATCGTCCGCTAATCGCCCGCGATTTGCACGCGATAACACCCTGACTTGTCGGCGACTCAACGATTTGCAAATCGGGCTTAAATCGGGCTTAAAATCACATAGTGTGAACTAGGCTTAAGCCGTTTCATTTTTCCTATTTGACCGTTCTCACACAAACACACACATTATATATATGTATATAAATCCTCTTTTTTTCAATTTACCATGCTGTTAATTTCATATTGCTGGCATGTCTATAAGTGGTGGTTTAAATGTTGCTTTTAATGTAACAAACATGGGATCAAAATCAAGAAGGACGAGAAAGCCCGACTGGACAGAGGAACAGTGTTTACTGTTAGCCCAGTAAGTGGATGAACACAAGGCCATCCTAAAAGGAAAATTCGGGCTTAGTGTCAATCTATAGCGTCTTATTAACTCACTGTCATCCATTGTCTGTAACATTTCTTCTCCCTCTTCCGCCATTTTCTCCTCTGCTAAAGAAACTCTTAAGCGTCTTAAAAGTCCTCATCCATACTCCTAACAATTTACTTTCTTAATGACTTTTTTCTTTACTAGGAGTTTTTCTTTCATTTTAAGAGTAAACGCCCACATTTCTAAAAAAATTTCTTAGAATTTTGTTTTTTATGGCGTTTTTTAATACGTAAAACCATAGAACTCAATCAGGGTGTACTTTCTATTTCACATGACTGTATATTGTTAAAAAATATAATATACAATGAAATGTCTCTATATTTACATTATTAAAATGTAATTAATTATATTACACTAAATTGTATATAAATGTTTAATATAATATGTTTAAAAAAGTAATATTTACAGTTCTGTTTATTTACAGGTAAAATCTGTTTATATTTAAATATTTATTCATTTCTACATTAATATATATATATATATATATATATATATATATATATATATATATATATATATATATATATATATACACACACCAGTTAACAATTGCAGTCCATATTATGAGTCATTTTTCATTTTCACCAGCCCCAAAGTTTAATTTACCTCCCGAACGCAGGCATGAGCCAAACCTCACATTTACAACCTAATTTGTTTCCATCATCCACAGGTGCAGGAGCCAAAAGTCTAACATCCACAATAACCGTGTCACTCTTACGTGGCCTTTCCTAACGGCCCTTTCCGGTCCGCTTGAGCTGTGAGACGTATTCTTCTTTCTAGGACTCTGGCAGACGGGCCAAATGAACGGCTAGAGGAAGGGGAGGACTAAAGAGTGATTACACAAAGCGCGGAGAGGAGAACGGCCGTCTTTGTGAAGCGCGAGACATGAAAGGCGTTTGATACATCAACTTGTTCAGGGAAAATCTCGGCAGCTTGTTCCTGCCACTGTGCTGGGGACAGCGGGGGTGCATTGAAGCCCACCGCAGCCATTAAAGGTTGAAATGGGAAACGCCAGGGATAACAAAGCCCTGATTTTGACAGCTTTTTTGGAGCATAAGATCCACTGATGTGTGAAATGCAAGCAATGTGCCTTTTGAACAAGAAGGGGTTTGTTGCCTGAGCTGTGGACACTGGGTGGGAGAGAAGAGGAGGTGTGTGTATACGTGTGTGTGTGTGTGAGGGGTCTAAACCAGGACAGGTTGTTTTCCAGTCTCCGTCCCTCCTGGCTAAGCATTGAAGAGAGTAAAGCTGACATCAGTAGGTGTGTATTGAACAATCTGCTTTTCAAGTTCCCACGTCAAAGGCTTTGTAGAAGAAACGGACAGAAAAAAAATCTTCTTAATGGAATTACTACAAACACGTACTGCACTTTCACTTTTTTATCATGTAACTGTTCCCCTAATATTGACATTTAGTTAAACATGAATATGTAAGAAAAACATGAACGATATAAGAAAATACACTCAGCTTTTGCCTTCAGAGCTGCCCTAATTCTTCATGACGTGCTGGAAACATATTGGCATGATAGCATCACGCAGTCGCTGCAGAATTGTCAACTACACATCCATGATGTGAATCTCCCGTTCCTGCACATCCAAAGGTGCTCTATTGGGTTGAGAACTTGAGATCTGATGACTGTGGAGGCCATTTGAGTGTGGTCAAAGACACTTTCAAGAAAAGTTTGTTCACTCCGCGGCCATATTTGCAACGCATTCGGGAAGCTATTTTGGCATCCAAAACCAAGTCCTATCTTATTGGGGAATCCTGAAATCTCAAAAACTGCTTGCCGAACTCACAATTAAATAACATATTTCAAATCAACAAAAAAATCTGACATTAACGGTCTCTAAAAATGTTGTTTTTAATGCTCATCTAGCATTTAAAAAGCGTATTTTTCAGGCTAGACCAGCCAACGGACATGTGCAGTCCTAAGCACGAGGAGTTTCAGGTTTCTATGGGATATTTGAACAGTTTGAAACTGTCTTTTGGACCTTGAACTGTTTGGTTACCAGTAAAGTGCATTATACCAAGAAAAATCCTGGAATGTTTTCATCAAAAACCGACTGAAGAAAGAAAGACATGGACATCTTGGATGACATGGGGGTGAGTAAATTATCAGGAAAAGTTTTTTTAAAAGTGATCTACTTCTTTAATAGTAATCAACTTTATTAATTCATGAAAAAGAGGCTTCAATGAGGCAATGAGAGCAATTCATTTTGATGCAAGAACAAATTGCTCGAATCAATATAAATCAATTCTAGTCAATACGTTGTTGGTTCAGTCTGTTTCATGAACAAATCTTTCAGGCTAGTTTGTGTATCAGTTCACCAAATTCATATATATATATATAAAAAAAAACTACAGTAACTACTGAATCCTAAATATTAACATAACTTAATGGGTAGGACGCGCAAAGACAAACCTTATGGGCCACACTGCCTGGTACCACTGTCCTGACCACCATTCCAGTACCCTTGGCTCCAACAATACCAAATCCCAGGCCGGTTCCATCGTTCACCAGCTCGATCTCCTCCACGTGTCCCCATTGATCCTGCAAAAGACGCACACAGGGGACAGTTTTCAATCCATTGTCTTGTCGGACACATTTAGAGGTCAGTGAGCATCAGTCATAATTTACTTTGAGCCACAAAACCGTCTACTTAAAGAATAAAAATCCATTCAATCACCTTTGATTGCCCAAATATGGAGCGAGTGGCGACCCAAGACCTGTGACTACACCCTGCGGCGGAGTCGTATTAGGGCACAAAATGCTAATGAACGTGTTAACGGTGTGATCCTGCAGTGGCTGATCCATGTCAGGGCCAGGAAAGCCCACGAGAGTCTTTGTGATCTCACATCAGCCGTGCTCCTAATCACCCAAGTCTCCTTGGGCTCATATAAAGGACCTGCCATCCGTACATTTCTGCTCTCTTATTACCAGGCTGTTATCTGCCGTCTGACTACCTCTGCAATTCTCACAATCTAATGAAACCCCTCCTCTGCCGTTCGCCCAGTCGCTCTTTCGAAACAAAGCTTTAGACTAGCGTTCATCCTACGGTGAGGAGAAAAAAAACGGAGATAAGATTTCGGAGATAAGAAGTCCCTTTCTGACTTTGTAGAGACTTGAACTCACTCTGCTTGAAACTCATCTCTTTTAAGTTCAGTGGAGAATGGTTTGAAAGAAGGCGAACAAGAAAACAAGTTGGACCGAATTTGCTTTCTTTATACACATTAGTTCATCACATCATTTATTTCATTTAAAAATGAAAATTCTGTCATCATTTACTCACCCTTAAGGCCTGTTCACACCAGGACGAATTTCACGTGCGATATCCGCCGACGTTTAACGCCTTGTGACTAAACAAAGGGCGTCAATGTGAGTGTGCACACTGACGCGTAAAACGCCCACGCATAAAAACGTCATTTTTAGCAAAAAACGCCTCGGGTTCGTTTTTTTAGTTTGACGCGCTGCGTCAAATACTATCTATCAGACCAATGAGATTGGTGCTTTTGCTCACGTGTTTGGAGCTTCTGAAGTTACAGTAAAACACAACTTGGGGGCGCTCAAACAAAACGGTCTTGCCGAGCACACATATGCCACGGCGAAGAAGATATACGCGAAGTAGCGTCGCCGTCTACACAGCCAGGAAGAAATAAGACGAGGAAGATGCGAGGCAAAATGAATGTAGAGCTGGTGTTATCGTTGGTGCTAGAACATGAACTATATGACAAGCGCGACAGCGACTACAAACATCTTGATAAAAGAAAACTGTATGGAGTGGTATTGCAGAGCAAATGGGCACCATCTAATGTCAGGGAATGAATTTGCATGTTCACTCGGCTCATCGTCAGCGAAAAACGTTTGGGTGTGAACACAAAAAACGCGTTGAAAAAAACTGGCGAATAACGTGCGTTGAACTTGAGGGTGAAGTAAATGTTAACAAAATGTTCAGTTTTGGGTGAAACTATGCCTTTAAATTATACTACTTTGAGTTAACTAGTCCCTAGAACAGACTGGACAATCATATAGTAAATCTGTTGTAGAATTAAAACAGCAAATTTAAATATGTTCCCCACTGATGTCCCAAACATAAGAAATACAGCTACATTTCATTACACAAACAACAGTATTTCCTCCAGACTAAAGCTTACATAAACATCTATATGTTAGTGACCTATAATGTGAAAGCCGGAAAACATCTCCGTTGGGAAAAGGCTTGGATGTTATTCCTTCAGTAGTGGGAATTCCAGAGCTGTGTATCTCAAGTCTTGCCTCCATGAAACTTTCCAATGGAGTAAAATTAGAATTCAAGATATTCTCAAGGCCTTCGGATGTCTGTGTCTACAGAGAGATAGAAGTGTTGGGGAAGTGAGGAAAAATATACCTCTGCTTCATTTGCTCCTGCATTTAAGGAACGGACCAGTGGTCCCTTGGGGTCTGAGCAATCTTAAACAGATAAATATTTTCTCAGCTTTAAACGATAAGAGAATAGATTGAAATGGAAAGGAAGGTGGGGGTCTGTTTGAATACGGGGTTAGCGAGAGGACATACTGTAATACATGCTTTCGGAATGACGTCTTCATTGCTAAGCTTTTAAGTCGACATATGATGATTGACATTAGCAATACCCAAGTTTCAGATTGACAGGTATTTAAACGTAAAAACAAAATACGTGTTTGGAGTTTTACTTTAAGGTTTATAACAGTGCTGTTTATATACTGTATAAACAGTACTGTGTAAAAGTTTTAGGCAAAAAGTTAGTATTTTCACCGAAAAAAAAAATGTTTTTAAGCCAGTTACTTATATATACACACACATACATACATATATATATATATATATATATATATAATTAGTTAAAAAAATTAGTTCATAAATATAATTTTACTAATTAACTAATTAGTAAATTAGTTAATAAATATAATTAGTTAAAAAAAAGCTGCAATAACATTTAAATTAGAGTAAATTAAATGTGTATAATACTATGAATATGTATAAATTATATAAATAAATTTGGAGTGAATCAATTCAAAATCCTAATTTACACAATTCACAATTATAAATAAATAAAAACACATATACATACACACACATATACAGTATATGTATGTATTATAAACCTATGTTAAATGTTAAATAATATTAAACATGTATATATTTAATTATTGTTATGAAAAAATAGGGGATTTGAGTTGAAGCATGGACATTCACCCACAAGGGAAAAAATTAAATAATATTAACAACCAAAATCTTGGCAATGCTTCCTGTTCCCTCCATTGCCTTCTGCCTTTACGGTGTCGAGTCATGTTTGTAATAAAACCTATTTTATTTTTATCGTAACAAACAGCAAACAGACACTCAATCTGACTTATAAACAAGTTCAGCGACATCTGGTGACAGATGAAAACCAGACTTTTGCTCCATTAAACACAATCCTGAGTGAAACGGCACATGAATTAAACCAAAGTCTGGTTTCGATATGCAGAACATGGCCATGAATTAAGGATATTAAACATTTCAAAGAGATAAAATAAGCATAGACAGAGCAGAAATACACAACCTGGCTTGCAACGCAAAGACCAAATCAAAACTAATGTGATTTTTCCAGAAAGAGGAACTCGCCTTGTGTGCATTCGCCGTTAATTTGAGAAGTTTGAGGTACTTAATTAAAGAAGACGAGAGGGAAGAGTTGTGTTTATTGTTGAAGGCTTAGGTTAATGCAGTTCATCTACTGGCTGTTGGTCTTTTCCAGTCTCATTTTCTCCTCTTCCCAGCTTATTCCTTTCAATGATGGAAAGGTCTTTTTTGGATGAACCCGCGAAAGTTTATGCAGTTCGTTATTCTTCTGTCTTTGGTTTAGAGATGCTCCGGTTATAACAGGATGTTTTAAGGGCTTTATTTTCCTGAGGATCACATTGTAATAATGGGAACAGGACTAATAAATAGGCTCTTAGCTTGCTGTTTATACCTCAGGCAGGTTAAATCTAAATGCTTAAGCAGTTTGTTATACATTCTGTCGCTGGATTTGATAATCTGTACATGTTAGCGCAACTGGTCGAAATTAAAGCATCACCAAAATATAAACTAAACTCAGTTTGTTAGGCCTCAGGAAATATTGGTCTTCTTAAATAGGTGACATGAAAACCATGCTAAAGCCAAAAATGACATCTGCACTTCATGAATGCCAATCTTGAAATCTTACCAAAAGAAACTAATACTTAAAGTATGTTTCTAAGTAAAAGTAGCTCTCTCAATAATGTTATTTACTCTACCTCTCGTCGTTTCAAGCCCAAATGCTGAAGTTTTTCCAAGTTTATGATAGTTTGAAGTGATCACAGGCCACAATTTGCAGTTTTTTAAACAAATATGGTGACGGTTTGACACCATGATGTTTAGTCATGAGAGAACCAATATATTTGACAACAAGTGCCATAGATGACATATTTGATTAGAAATTTGGCAAGCTAATTTCAAAGTAGCTTCCATAACCGCTGAAGAACTATGAGAGATACTAGTTACAGTTACATATGTGGACAACTAAGGCCGTACCGTCTGAACGGGTCCAGATGTGGAGAGAAGGGGTTTGGCCGCAGCGTCTCTGGCCACCACCAGCTCCACTCGGTCTCTCTGTTGCTGGAGGAGAGCGATGGCCTGCTGCTGCGTCACGCTCTGATCCAGAGGAATCCCATTAATCGCAAGAATCTGATCATTCTCCTGCAATCTTCCATCCCTGGAGATAAAAATTATCATGGTTTAACTTGCCAGTCAAAATACCAGTAATAATAATAAATAAATAAAAAACACACAATTACTACTTTATTTATTATTTTACATTAACCAATTCATCCAGTAAGTAAATTACTATTTTTAAATATGTATATGATGATTATTATTAATATTATTGTTTTTGTTATTATAACTTTTATTATTATCATCATCTCGATATTATAACCATATTGTTATTACTATCTATTTAATCAATTTAATAAATAGACCAATAACATCAGTGAGTACTATTATTATAATCTTAAAAAATATATTATAATAAAAATAAAATATTATTTTTACATTTTTAAATATAAAACATATTATTTTCAAAAATATTTTTTCTTTTTTTAATTTAAAAATAAAATATATATTTTTAATTTTTAAATATAAAATATATTATTTTTAAATATAAATAAAATATTATTATTTTCATCCATTCCATTATTTTCAAAAATATGATCAAACTCATCCCGTAAAATAAAAAGTATATATTTTTTATTTATTAACTACTTTAAAATGTTTTTATGATGATGATGATTATTATAATGTTTTTATAATTATAACTGTTATTATTATTACTATCATCGCCATATTATTATTATCCATACTGTTATTTTCTATGTAATTCGTTTATTTTATTTAATAAATAAACAAATAACATCAGTAAGGAGCACTATAACTATTATCATCCATTATCCAACTCATCCTGCAGAATAAAATTATTATTATTATTAACTAATTAAAAAAGTTAATAATAATGATGATTATTAATATTATTTTTATTATCATAATTGTTATTATTATCATCATCTCCACATTATTATCCATACTGTTATTATTATTAATTTAAATTTATTGTACTTAATAAATGAATACCAATTACATTAATATGAGTATTATCATTATTATTATCCATTATCCAACTTATGCCATAAAGTAAAAAGCATATTATTATTTTATCCATCATCCAATAAATCCAGTCAATCAATTAATCAATCATATGATTATCCATCTCATCTACATTAAAATAAGTAAATAAATAAATTTAATGCTAATTCAGAATTAGTCACAATTTTTATTTTATTCGTTTTACAAAACTAATAAAAAAATGCACGCATCTATTCCTTCTAATCAAGCAGATTTTAAGATGCATGAGGAAGAATAAATTGATGAGCCTCAGGATACAATCTCAAAACAACTCGTTGCAATCGCAAAAGGAGGAGCCAAAAAGAAAATGATCTAAAACAACATGATATTTGAGGAAAATATGATAAATGAATAAAGCAGAGAGGTCTTACCTGTCTGCGACACTCCCTGGTTGCACCTGTCTGACGAACACACCATGGCCGCCCACCCCCTCTGGTCTCAGGCCCACCACACTGAAACCCAGACCTCCAGATAACGGCTTCTGCAGGCTTATGAGCTCCGTCCTCCGGCCCTGCTGTAAAGAGCCCAGAGACGAAATTAATACAGATGAGAATACACCATCCATACTAACTGGCCGAATCTGAGCAGGGACATTTCGCCAACTGTTTTTCAAATAGTACCAATAGAGCACATAGTACTCTTTTGTCGTACTGTTTTTCACATACTATAGAGTAGGGAAGTACTTGATTTTAGAAGCAGTGGTTTATGGAGAGAAAAATGACAAAAGATACTGCTGCATGTCCACCTTTGCTGCTGCATGCATCCATCTCTGAAGCTGCTCAGAAGATGCGTTCGTTGAAGCTGTTCCATTGGACACCACGGATCCCAGGCTACTGGATGGACGGCTGGCGCTGACGATCAGCTGCCCCTTTCTGGAGAAACTGAACTCACTGCATGTGCCCGGAGGCAAGCTGTTTAACTGCAAAGCAGAACGGACAGTCAGTTCCAAAGATGGATGGAGAAAATAATAATAATAATTAGTGCTGTCAAATGATTAATCACGGTTAATCGCATCCGAAACAAAATTTTGTGTTTACATAATATATGTGGGTGCACTGTGTATAATTATTTTGTATATATATAAATACACACACATGCATGTATATTTAAGAAAAAAATATTTATATATAATATAAATATTATATAAATCTATATATAGTATGTACATGAAAATAATTCTTAAATATATACAAGCATGTGTGTGTATTTTTATATATATATATATATATATATATATATATATATATATATAATAATTATACACAGTGCACCCACATATATTATGTAAACACAAATTTTTATTTTGGATGCGATTAAGCGTGATTAATCGGTTGACAGCCCTAATAATAATAATAATAATATTTCCACAACTACAGTGTTTATTAAGTGTTCCATCAAGTGATCCATTAAGTGTTATTACTGTCCATTAATAATAATAATAATAAGACAAATCAAATTTAAAAATATGTTCTTGTAAAATATATATATATATATTTTAAATCAGTTGTTCCCAATAACAAATTTGTTTGATACTACGACTTCTACTACTACTACTGATAATAAAATAATAATGCAAATATAGTTATGTAGACAAATATAAATTTAGCCCATTTTTGAATTTAGCCCAATTTTTGATTTAACCCAAAGAAAGAAAGAAAAAGAAATAGAAATATATAAAGAATAAAAACATTTGTTTGAAATACATTTGAAAAATACTAATAATAAAATAATGAAAATATTATAATAGCAATAATTAGTTGTACTGTTATTATTATTAAAAAAAAATCCAAACTAATTCATAAACAGACACAATTAAATTACTATTAATTATAATTATTTGTATTAATAGATGAGCTGTAATAAATACTTAAATGTTTCAAAAAAAAAAATATATATATATATATATATATAATAAAAATAATAATTAAATTATATATATATACACACACACACACACACACACATACTGTCCTATAGGCAGAGGAAAGGAAGGAAAAAATAAAAGGTGGAAAAATCAATAGATTCCTCTGCAGTGTTCGCTAGTCCCCAACAGGTAATGTATTAATGACCTTTAGACTGTGGGAACTTATCAGTCTTGTGCTTATTTAGTCCGGGCTGACAGAGCAGGTTCCAGCCTATTTCATCGATACATCTCCGACAAGGCAGTTACTCAAACTGAGACAGTGGATATTAAGGCTTGATAGAAACTCCGACTGTTGCCCGCCTCGACATACTTGATAGGTTTTTCACCTGACGCATTCATAGGCGCACGTCTGACCTTCCCAGCACTTAGAATATGAAGGCGAGCTTCCGTTATTGCCATTATCTTAATTTGGTGTGCGGATTGTTTATTGTAAAGAGGTTTCTTGTGTCAATAAAAACTCAGACTGAATACAAATAGGGACGAGGGACTTTCAGAATGCAGAGTATGCGGTGAAGAAACACATGGCCACCGGCCTGCACTCTGGGATGGATGCAAAATAAACGTTTATTTGAATCTAAATAAATAACGTGACATCTTTGGCATCATGAATACACATTAAAAACTGCCATTTTATCTGATCTTGGAGATTCTTTACTATTTTAATGAACTGAAACATAATGGCGCGTTCTATTATAGCAAACGAACCGACTCGGACGTCGGATATGAAGTCACGTCCACACTTCAAGCGTTCTATTACGTTTTGCGTGTCCGAGTCGGAGAAAAAAACGGACGCCACCCGGAAAGCTGTTGTAATGGTAGCACTAACCGAGTATCAGGCACTTACATTAAAAAAAAAAAATTATGACTACGCCTTATCAAAACGCAGCCATTTGAACTTGAAAATGTTAGCTTTATTTCATGTTTTTCATGTTAATCTTCTGTTAGCAACGCTAACAACGTTAGTAATTGCACTCACAACAACCGATTCCCATACGCAGTAATACGAGTGATTATAATCGTCATTTAAAATACCAAATCGGTTCAAAAACAATGAAAACAATTCATACAAGTCACACAGGGTGCAGCCATCTTGAATTCCGAAACCGAATTCTTGCTTGGTGTCCTCACGGTTGTCCGACGTCCGAGAGGAGAAATCCGAGGAAAGGGGCGTGTTGCTAGGCAACGTCTGTCTTCCGATTCAGATCTCCGAGACGGATGAATAATAGAACGCCCCATAAGTAATGCATTTAACTTTTTATCAATAATACTGATGCGCAAAATGAGGAACAAAGACGCAGCAGCTCATTTCCATAATCGACCAACAGAATCTACCGAGAGCAGCGCAAAATAGCGTAGGGTCACAAACAAGCACAGCAGGCACAGCAAATTAAAAATATGTTATGATAATAATATGTTCAGAAAACATCTAGTAGCTAAAAAGTCCTAGTGCATTTTTAAGTTTCACATACAAACGACAACATTGACACGAATCTGCGAAAACAAATGGCCAGTAGCCAGGCCAGTAGTTGGCGATGTCACTTTATAAAGAAACACATGCGCCTATAAACTGAGCACGTAATACACATGACGTCACCGTTTTCACGTTTTTGTAGTTTTCACAGAGACGATAACAGTATCGTTTTCAAAAAACGATAAAAGTTTTTCGTGTAAACAAACGGTCAAAAGTCGTGTAAATACCCGTAAATTGACTATCACAAACTTTAGTAAATCACGTTGTGTGATTTATTTACATACTCTCCTCCCATAATTTTTACATCTGAAAGGTAAACTTTTATGTCCTCGTCTCATATATGAAATGCCTGTGATTCACGACTACCTGCTAATGGACTCAAATTCGCAACGTAGCCTTGTTTGGGTAAGGGCAAAATGCATGAGATGTAGTACCTTCAATGCCCTGTAGATGGCACTTGTTTTGTAGCAGAAATAAACTGCTGCAGAAAAAGTGCCATGCAAAATGTAACTAATCACATTACTCATTAAAAATGTATTGAAGTAACTCACAACAGAGAGTTGCTAATATCTTTGATACTCAGTAAAACTACAAAGTAGCCAAAAAGATACTTATGTACAGTTCCTAACTCCATTTAGACCCAGTCTCGGTATGTAGGGTGTCCCATTTGTCATTTAAGGTTTCAGAAGGGTGCTGATATGTGCCCTCGATACACACGTCTGCTGTAGACTTCTACCCCACCGTCAAAGCGGCATTACGTGTGGACTCACAAGGGCTCCATTTGGGACAAGGCCTTACTCAAATACTTCACACCACTGAAATATTGACGGTAGTACTTTTAAATGGCAAATATACAAGTAGTTTGTGGCCTTGGTGCTCACAGTAAGGGTGTTTTTGAAGGTTTATATGCTAATGCAAGTCTGACCTGGTCTTTCAGCTGTTTGACTGAGTGTTGCAGGGTGAGGATGTGGCCGAACAGAGGGCTCTGCAGGGCTTCCTTCAGCGTACCGAGCCTGTCGCTGTGGGTCCACTCTTCTCTCTGCACCAGCTTGGACTGCAGCCTTTCTAAGGCCTGGAGCACCTGCTGCCGCTCGGAAGCAGACACTGAGAACACACACAGTCAAGATATTAACCATGCAAAGAAGGATTAAACAAAGAGCATGCTTGTGTGGATGAAAATTACAATTACTGATACCTGTCGGTAAGTTCTCATACATTGTCGTTCTCTCGATAATTCAGTGCAGATTGATCTGTGAAAGGGGATGAAAATAGATATTAGAGCTTCAGTTTGATCTTAAATGTCGATGTCCATGCACAAATATAAAAAGGATCAAACTCATAATTTAATGGATAAGACTGATCCAACACTGTAACATTTCAAATTTGTTATGTAGACAAATATATATTTACATACACACACACACTTACATTTACAAACTTTTTGTCAGACGTAATTAATCAATTTGACAGGACTAGCGTGTGTGTGAGAGTATAAATAATTTAGCATAGCCAAAAAAAATGTATATACACTACATAAAAAAAAGTTGATTTTCATATTTCTCACTTTCTATAACTGTGGGAACCCTGAAATGGTTCTCATTCAAAATGTATGCTGATATTATGTGTTTATTTTCATATTATCAAAGATAAATCAAGGCATCTTAACCTATAACAATACATTCAGACAGCAGTTTCTGTTCACGTGACCAGCCATCAAAGCAAAAGTAGAAAAGGCAATTTACCTTACTTACCAACAATGTCCATATACACTTGCTCTTGAGGTTCACCTAAATCTCTGTCGACTTTGGCTCTCTCATAAAACACAATCCCGCATTTCAAGTGTTTTTTATGGCTGTTTTGTCTGTACGTGTGTGTGTGTTTACACCTGCGCGAGCCTCACCTGAAACCAGGAAGTGCGTGATCATTCAAGTTTCAGTGAACTTTATTTATGTTAAACACAAAATAACAACGAAACCATTATGTAACTGAAGGGTAAAGATGTGTTTATACTATTTCTAATCTAAGTCTAATCAAAAGCATAATTTATATTATGTCATAAATAATATAAACGATATAAACGGAATCAAACAGGTGCATACGCGTAAAACACTGAGTCATCACTGAAATCAGTGCTGAAAACTTCGTGACAGTGTGAATAATACATTAAAGAATCATTCTATCAATCGAAAAGTGTTTTGTTTTAAAATATCAACCATATCTTGAAAAGAATGACATACAACATAATACACAAACATGCTCCTGCTTCCCAATACAAAAAAACCCATTATTGTGACACAGGCTAGCGCAGTTAGCCGGTTATAAAGTTGATTATTAGCATTAAACACCGTGATTAAGTTTAACCGATACTTGGTTTTGCGTGCAAACTTGCTATACAGACCAATCCGGCTTTACTAAGTATATGTATAAAGTTAAACGCGTTAAATAAGAGAATTCTGAGAGACTTACGTGCTATGTCCGCGGCGAATCTTGTGCACTGTTCCTTTAAGAGCTCCAGCAGTCACGTGATCGTTCAACATGGCGTTACACTGGAGGAGTTTGATGCGCTTTCGTTCATCAACACGGCCGCTAATCATCTTCTCCTTCTGCCTGACTGTCATCCACAGTCTGGGGAGTGATGTGGACAACTGTGATAAACTGCAGTTGGGACAATATCCTTTCAAAATCGCCTTAATATATTGGGATCGTTGAATCAGTAGTAGCCTGCTAGCTAGCATTGTGGCTGCAATTGATGGTTGTTTATAACATGAAAGTGCTGATTTTACAAATAAGTCATTTTTTTTTTTACATAATTACGGTACAATTATCCCGATTTGGTGTTTAGATATGTGATATAATAGTGTAACGTTATAGTGATATAGATCGCTATATATATATATATATATATATATATATATATATATATCCTAAATAGCATATCTGTTTGCTCTGTTTAACGTTAACGTTAGACCTTTTGGAATATTTCAGATGTGTTTTTATTATACATATGCGTAAATGAATTACATTCTGTGTCTATATATGTTAAACCGACATAATAATAAACGACATGCTCGCCCTGTCTATGATGGCTCATGTCACTCATATCCGATCATTAATCGCTGTTTTCCTGTTTATTGTTGTGAAACTGCTTTGAAATAGTCTGTATTGTGTAAGTTAGAGCACTATATATAAAAAGGTGACTTGAACTGGCTATTGGAAATCAGCATCACTAATGTTGCTTTAAGATTTTAATACCATTTGATTCCTCCTTAACATTGCTTAGATATCTGTGTAAAGAACCCAAAATAGATGATGCAACTCAAGAGCCAGAAAACTGCAAGGACCGGTTGGCCTGGGGTGGGTCTGCTTTTATCATGTTTCACTATTTAAAATGCTTCTACGCTCTTTGACATATTATAATGAAATATTTATTATGCATAATTTATTGTAATATATAAATAATATATTACATTGATGTTTTTTATATACAAGTATTAAATAATGTATAATAAATATTCTATTTTAGTATTTTATGCATTATATGTAATGTATAAAATGAAACATTTATTATTCATAATTTATTAATATACTGTATATGTGTGTAGAGTATAATATAATTATATAATAAATTAATAAATAAAAAATATAATGTATACAGTTAATGTATAATCAATGTATCATACATATTTTATTTAAAAAAATAATGTAATGTATAATGTTATGCGTGTTATATGTATTTTTGATTTAAATATATATTTGATAATATATTCTGATTATTATATAAATGCGTAACATTTTATATATATATATATATATATATGTGTGTGTATGTGTATTTTTTATTTCAAAACGTATATACTATTTTATATATACATCAATGTACCATTTAATATACATTTTATAAACAATATATTAAAATTATATAATTGTATAAAATAATGTATAATGAATAACTTATAGTATTAAATATAAACGATAGTTTAATGATATTTATATATATTATAATGCATATGTGTGCACACACAGTATAGATCATTTAACAGTGTTAACAGTGTATAATATATTATACTATATGTAGTAGTATTATTATAATAACAGTTAAGTGGCTCTATAATTGCCAGAATATGCCTGACACCAGTTATGACTTGTGGTATATGAACTGAGGAATCTAAGGCTGTGTTGTCATTGCAGTGGAATGCCTTCCTGCTCCAAACATTAGCTGTCGGCTGTCAAATGGAACACAGTTCAAATTCAGCGGTGAAGAGGTCGGGTTTAACAAAAGCGTCCCATGTCGAAATGTGTAAGTCAAACTTTACCTTCATGACATGGCCTTACATTTAAAACATTTTTGTTAATATCTATTGTTTTTTCTAACATTAGGAGTGGTTACTCGTACAAAGTGGCTGTTGCTCTGTCACTCTTCCTGGGATGGATTGGGGCGGATCGGTTCTACTTGGGATACCCGGCCTTAGGTAAGAAACTACCGTCGGCTAAATGGAACTTGGCTGGCTGTGTGCCGTTGCCCCGAAATCACCTCTTTCTGGCACCCATTTACCCATCAGTAACTCATTAAAAAAATAGGAGTGTGCAGCAGAGCATACATTTTTTATCTGTTCTGTATCAGTAATAATCTCAATATTATTTATGTCTGTATTTTTTATGAATAATAACGTGCTTTCCCCTGGCTCACCTGATTTCCATCAAACAGGAGGAGTGACTGTCAGCCTATTATTCTGCAGCTATTCACTTTGAAGCCATTATCAGGATTCAGGCACATACCTACTTGAAAATATCTTGTGCGAGTGCTGCGCTGTAACACAAGGGACCTTCAGAACAGACAGAATCAGTCCTGGATGTTCTGCTGTTGACATCATCTTTCGCCTACTTTCCAAGGACACACCTTTTTTAAAGAGGCAGATATAGACATGGTCAGCAGCACTCATATGGAAATCTGATTTGAGACCGATAATAATAGGAAGATGGTATTTATAGCCAGTAGTCTATATAATTACAGATTAGTGGTCGACTAATAGTTGTTTTTAAAGGCCGATCCTGGTAATGAAATCTATAGACTAGAGTGGCAGATATAATCTTGAATTTTACTTAATTGAATTAATCATATAATTGAATTAATTGAATAATTGAATTAAAACCTTTTTTTTTTTTACAGAGTTTCATGATAGCAAATGAGATGTAGACAAAAATACAGACTTTAAGTTAGCACTTATTTATATAAACATTTGATTATTATTTTAAATTAGCTGTTATATTTTCAATTTTAATTGATTTTCATTTTTATTAGAATTTATTTATTTTATTTTACTTGGTAATTTTAGTACTTATTTCAGTTTGTCGCCAAGGCAAAATTTCTCATTTTTGTTTATTTATATTCTATTTTATTTCAGTTAACACAAATGTTTTAATAGTTTTAGTTAACGATTATTTGTTTGGTAGACTTAGCAGGGCACAGTTATATTATTAAAAATCAATTAGAATTTTACAACAGTGCAATAAATAATTACTACATTTATGAGATTCAGTTTACAAAAAAAAAAAAAAAACCTAAAGCATCTGGTCATAAATTTGGAGAGATTATTAGGGGGGAAATGTGTTTAATTTTTATGAAATTAATGTCTAAATGGAAAAAAAAAAAAACGGTGGTTCTTAGTGGTTTATATCTTTAAGCAAAATAAAAAATGCTTATGAATTTAGGAAGACATAGCTTGTTTCTGCCAATGAATAAAAAATAAAAAAGATAATTGTGACTATCTCTCAAATCTGACTTTTTTCTTGCAATTGCGAGTTTACATCAGAATTGCGTGATAATTGAGTTATAAAGTCAGAATTGCAAGATTCTGAGAAAAAAAAGTCTTTATTTTCCTCAGAATTGGACTTTATAGCTCACAAATGTGAGTTTATATCTCTCAATTCTCAGAAAAGATGTTGGAATTGTGGGTTTATTTCTCGCAATTATGAGAGAAAAAAAATCTGAATTGTGAAAGAAAAATTCACAATTATCTTTTAAAAAAAAAGTATTAAATATCAGAAACAAGCTTCCATAGACACGCGACCTGGATTTTAACCAATTTTGTGGGAGGCCCTCCAACACACATGGACTAGGCCACAAAATGTTTGTTTAAAGTTTTGATTTTGATCAGAGATTGGTGGTTAAAGTGTTTTTGGCCTTGACCTTCCCTTTTGACCACAATATAAACCATCCCCAACAAAAATCACCACTGACGTCATGAAACGGGTTTGGAATCGCTTTTAAGAAAAGGTGCATGCTGTTCACATGTGAGGCCAACATTATCAGTCCTTGCATGTTCTGCTTTTCAGAACATGTGAAAAAAAATCATCAATGACCCCTTTTTTTTGGTACCAACCGTTTTAACAAAACGAATCTGCATGCGACAGCTAATTAACTAAAACAGTTCTCTTTGCCATCAGATCTCATGGTGTTTGTCTATCTATCCCATGGTGCAATTATTGTCATCGCATGCAGATGAGTTCAAGTTCTTTCTGCCGTTCTCCACGTTTTAAGGACTTCCTGATCAATTAAGCACCTGCGTTAGGACAAAAGGCCCTGGGCTTTTGAAGGTCCCCCTTGTTCCTGGCTTCTTTGTGCGAGGAACGCAGGAGTTTGTGAAAGGCAGACTCACACCGTGCTGGAGTCAGTTGTATAGCCTTGTTCATAGCCCAGCAGCTCTGGGGTCAGTCCAGACCAGGTGTGGCTCAAAGGAAGGCCTGGACTTGTTGAGAAGACATTCTGCAGGTGGCTTTTTTGATAGCCGTCCTGGAATCAACATGCCTAAACCCCTCAATGACCAATTATAAGTAATATTAGGGATGATTAGCAGCAATTATGGTTGAATCGCAGGGTGGAAGGGGCTTTTAAATTGACTGCAGATCTCATGGGCTCCTGATGGTGTTTCAAAAGATCACGCAATGGACATCCAAACGTACTACTTAAATTTAAACCAAAATTGTTTATTTTGAGGCGATTATTTGTGGGCATTATAAATTTGGCTCATGAATATTAATTTGAAGGTCCTACCTATTTGCTGGAAGGCATTTAAGTCTTTAATGCCCAAAATTCAGTTCTATGAATTGGCTGATTATTATAATTTGACCTTACAGCCTTGCTCAGTGGCTTAAACACTTTAAAAACAGAAAAAATCAGGTGCATGTTAAATAGCTTTGGCCTAAAAAATTGTTTTTGTTTGTGGTCATACAGAGAAGCCAGAGAGAAAGTGTTGGAAAGCTTTTCAGTATGTTCTTGGTTAACGTGTGGATCACTCTTTGTTCATTCCCAGGCCTGCTGAAATTCTGCACTGTGGGGTTCTGTGGAATTGGAAGCTTAGTGGACTTCATGTTGATCTCCATGCAGGTAAGAGACTTTAATTTCCAGGTTTTGGCCCATTTATACTTGTTTACTTTTCCTTCTGCATTCTTTTTGGAGCAATCAATTTTTATTCTTTTATTTTTGGTTACTTATACCTAATTTAATAGTTATCAGGGTTTTTGTTTTTATTGGCTGTGATTTTGCTTTCACTG